TGCAGGCTTTACATCAACAACAGCGGGCATAGAAGGAGGTTTCTCTTTTACCTCGACAGTACGCGTCGCCTCTTGCACAGGAGGCGGAGGAGATTTTGCCGCCTCTTTCTCACCTCCTCCATCCCCACCTCTGCTGCCCTCTACTCCGCGCAGTGATTGCAGCCAAGCATTCCACTTGCCCGGGAAGTCTCGTTTTGTGTCGACTGCAAACTGCAAACTTGCATCGGCAAACGCTTCTTCTCTCTTCACCAGAATGTGCAACGGCTGCGCACAGCTTGCGGTTCTCAGTTTATCGTCGATTTTTGCCGGATCCTTCTCGCGCAGCGCGTCGTGGGCAACTACGATGCGGTCATCCTTGCGCAACCCTATTTGCCCCGCAGTCGACCCCGGCTCCACACGATTTACCACTTTGCCGTTCTCAACTTTCCAACCAAAGGCCTCCTGGTCAGGCTCCGTCAGTTCCAGCTGCAGATAGAACTTTTCGTATTTTGCCCGTAGAAACAGAAACCCCGCGACCGGGTTGTCTTTGCGATTGAATTTCCGCTTGATTTTTTCCACGATCGCATCGTCCGGGTTTTCCCCGCCGTTCTCCTGCTCTGCCGCGTTTTGCAGCACTGTGATCCGCTCCGTCAACGTTCCCACCATCAGCATGATATCGTCCACCTTCACGTTGTTTTTCACCGTGCGCGCCTCCGGGTCCGCGTCATTGACCTTCGAGACACGGACCACCGGGTAGTCCCTCCAATTCAACTCCATGCCGAAGAGCTTCCAGATTTTTTCTTTTGGCGTCAGGGAACTATCCGTCAGGCAATCGCCGTCGATACTGCTCTGCCGCCAGCCGGTTAGCCCGTAGGACTTCAAATCCTTGCAGAGTCCGAGCAACTGTTGCAGGTACGGAGGTGGCGAGGCATTATTTGCTGTGTTTTTTCTGTTCTGCCCCCGTGCGATGATGCCAGTCAGTGTCGCCGTGCCCAGCGAGCCCGCACCGTGTTGCTCCCGCGCCTCCGCAGCAGCGACAGACAACCCCGTCAACGACTGGGAGCCCGTGCGTCCTACCGCTTCACTCTTCCCGGCCGCCGTTCCCAATTCGAGCGAGCCCGGCATCGTGGTGGTGCCCGCTGACGGAACACTCCCGCTGCCGTCGACCTTGGTCAGTGACTGGGTTCCATCATTTCCGAACGGCGACGGCCGCGAGACGTCGACCTCTTCGGCGAACGTCAGATCCGTGTGATTCCCCGACTCCCGCTTCACGAGAATGTGAAGTTTGAAATTGTCGTTTTGCCGGCTCTCCAAAAACTTCTGCACCAACTTCTGGATCTCCGCGGCGTTTTTTTCGCGAATGAACGACTCGTTAGTCTCGAAATCGTGCGCCACCACGATGCGGTCTTCCTTCTGCAAACCGAATCTATTCGCCGCCAGGCCGCCCGGATCGATACTGACAATTTTCGCCGCTTCCGTCTCCATTTTTAGCACGTCGGCACCCGTAGAGCTGGCATCAGAAATCAGTTTAGCGCCGCAGAGTTCCAGCTGACAGTACCGCTTCTCGTACTTGGCGCGCAGAAACGCAAACCCCGCCACCGGGTTGTCCTTCCGGGCCGCGCGACTTTGCACCTTCTTCAGAATCACCTCTTCGAACGACTTACAGTGTCTGTAGTCCGGCGCGGTGACCCAGGACCCGATCGATGTGACGCGGTCCTTCAGCGTGACACAGGCAATCATTACATCGTTGACGCACACGTTGTTCTTCGCCGCGCGCGACGGCTGCCCGTCCCCAGTCTCGCGGTCGACCTGGAGGACACGCACTACCGGGTAGTGACTCCAATCTAGCTCGATCGCGAACAGCTTGCGGAATTTCTCCTTGGGGTCAAGACTCGCATCGCTCAACAGCTCTTTGTCGATGCTCGACTGCGCCCAGCCGGTGACGCCGGCGCTTGAAAGGTCCTTGAAGAACGAGAGCAGCTGCTTCAAATACGGCGTGGCGGAGGAGCTGGCTCCTGGCGGGGCGAAGAGGAAAACTGATGAAGAAGAAGGGTTCTTGCGGTGGATCTTAAAAGTTGTAGGAGGGTCGTCATGTGATGTGGAACCTTGATTGTCTTTCTCTTTGTCGTCCGGAATACAGAGCGTCGTTGATGCCCTTGGCTCCACACTAGCGACTAGTTCGTCCAGGTCGACCCCACGATGAAGGTCCGCGAAAACAATTTCGTCCATCCGCGGTACCGAGCAGTTAGACATCAGGGGAAGTAGAGCGGCATTTCCATCGAACTCGTCATGAACTTCTTCCCTCGCAGCCTCGAGTTCCGCTAGAAAGTCGTCCCCGCCTCCGGATAACAGTTCTTCGGAGTCAACAACTTCTTCTGCCTCACTTGTGTGGCCGAAAAAGGCGTCCTGATCCTCCTCCAGGTCGTCGGCCGAGCTCGACGTTGTATTTGCTAGTACGTCAGGACCGATAAAACTTGGACTACTACTGGTACTGCTTCGCGTGTCGTGGCTCCTAGCACTACTTCCCTCATCATCGCTTATGATCCCGTGATCATCTTGCTCTGGATAAAACAGCAAAGGACCGCCCGCTGCTCGCCCACTAGCGCCGTCAAGGGGGACCTGTTGATCGCTTGCACTTGCAGCAGCCACCCGGCCACCAAACTGCGCCCAACCTTTTCTGTTCTTTTTTCCAGCCTCGTCCGCTTTTGCTGCTTCTGGCAGATATTGGTAGTTACCACGGGGATCATCCATGATCTCGTGTTGCTCCACTACTCCCCCACCCTGCTTGCTTTTCCTTTCGTCTTCCAGCAACATCAGTTCGATCTCGTCCTCTAGCTCCTGTTCGAGCAGTTCGTGTTCCTTCCGCACCTCCGTCATTTCCTCCGCCTTCATAGCAAAGTATCCTGTGCAAAGTATCGCACTCGTAGTAATTGCAGTCATGCACTACAAATCTCGTTCCCAAGGCAAATCAGCACGGCAAATTGCATTTGCCATGCTGAGGAAATTTGTAATCCAACTCATACTATTACGATGCAGCTTTTGCAGTTCATACAAAGTTTTTCGCTACGATTTTGGTCAACCCCGCAAAGCTCCCCCGCATGGCGGCCGCGTGCTCCTTCACCTCGCGGCTCGCTTCCGCGTTCTGCACCGCGCGGTGGTGCAAGACCGTTGTCAGACCGTGGAACTGCTCCCGCATCGCCTGCTTGTGCTTCGCCTCGTTTTCCACCCGCAGCTGCTCCTGCCGCTTCCGCTCCTCCTCCGCCGCCCGCGTGTGCAGGCTCACCTTGTGCGCCAGGATGGTCGCCAGCCCCTTGGACAGCGTTTTGGTGCCCGTGGACGGCAAAGTCGCCTGGCGCACCTTGTGCGCCATGATTTTCGCCAGAATGTTCAGCGACTTCGTGCCCGTCGAGGGCTTAGTGCGCGTTTTCACCTTGTGCGCCAGTATGGTGGCAATGCCCGTCCAGTCGTTCGAGGCTGTGGAGAGATGCTTATGTAACTCGTCGTCCTCCTCCGTGATGTGGTGTAAGTGTTTCAAGTAAAAATGGAACTCCGCGGGCCCTAACTCGAAGAAAGCGTTGAAGAAGTGCCGCACGTCCTTTGCAAGGGTGTGCCGCAACTCGTTCGGACGAGTTTTTGATGAAGTAGTAGATCCTGCGCCGTCAACGGTGGAGGACTTGTTTTCTTCTTCATCCAGCAGGAGGAGTCCCGCGAGCTTCTTCTCCAGATCGGCATGAAAGTCGCCCAGACGTTCCACAGCGACCTGCAGGGGCACATCCTGCAGACGAATCGCCGAAGACGACGAGCCTGCTTTACCAGGCGGCCCCGGAGCACTTGTTCCTACGGCTGCTCTTCTTGCATGCGGCCAACCTTTTGGGCTCGGGGAATAGGACTCTGGAAAGAACAAAACGCCACCAGAAGTGATGCGATCGGATAGTTCAGACTCTTCGGCGGGTCGTAGTTGCAACGCGTTGGAACTACGTGATATTCCGAGAGCGGACGGAGATATAATTCGGTGCTCATCGAAATCGCCGACGTTATTTTCCGGCAGGGACGATAGGAACATTGACTCGTCAGGAGAGTGTGAGTGTCCTCCGGGCGAGCGCTTCAAGTAGGTCGTGGTATCTGGGCGATTGGCCGCCGCCTCCTGCTTCAGCCGGTTTATTTTCCGTACTGGCGTCGCGTAGGCCGTCGAACTGGGAGCAACACCTGGAGTGGTTTGTTCTCTCGAATTCCGTCTTCTCGGCGGCGAGAAGCGGTCGTGGCTTTCGATATGCTTCCTGTCGTGTCGTGAGGCCGCACTACGGGTTGTAAACGGCACACCATGTGTAGCTGTCGTAGTTGCTCTTTCCTGTCTTTCCCGTAAGGTCTGCACTGTCATGTTCCCCCGAGCGTGCGGTGGCATCGCCGGAGTCGTTCGGCCGCGGCGCGGGGGCGTGAAGTGCTGCATGGTGGTGTCCGATGAAGCGATGAAAACTTGTTCTTGGCTTCAACACAACCTGATTGAAGTGAGCAGTAGCAAGCGTTGGTGGCACATCTTTAGTCGCTGCCGCGGCGGCAAGAGGAGTAAAACAACGGCAGCTGCATACGCACACCAGAAATTGACACGACCTAAACGGCCTACTTCTACACGTATGTATTTATTTCCTGAAGGTGCTGGCTCCGAAAAGGCAAATTTTGGAACGACTATCAAGCCCAAGTACTTACCCCAAGCCCACGCGTGTACGACAATTTTGATCATCAATTTGATTTTCACGGATACCACTTCAAATACGAATGAAGACGATGTTGACATACGACATGCGATACTGGCAGTGAAAACGTCCACGAGCTGACGATCTTTGGTTCACGATCCTTCGAAGGAGGTTGTTGTTCACCGTGACGTTTATAGCGATCAGATGGCGCATCACAGGTGCACGAGAAAACACGACAGGTGGCTGCGATTACCAGAGAACATTCATAGCGCCGATTGTTGCATTTCTCCGATGACAGAGACAGACTCAGAAAGACCGGATAGATTTTTCCATCAGTAAAACTAAAAGCGAACACCAGTCACACACTGTCACATATCAAGTCGCGACCGCCCTTTCCGACAGGCTTCTGCATCAGCGTGCGTTGCGCTAGTACCACTGCGCGTTGCAGACCTAGATCTTCAGGAGCATGTACATGATAGAAAGATGCATGTGCGTGATGTCGCGTCGTCGTAACCGTATATTTTGTGCTACTTCCCGAAAAAGCAGGACCGCCAAAAACAAAGTGATAAAAAGTAGTTGTAGTGATGCCGCCAGGGCGAAATGAAGATTCCACTCAACCTACATTCATCATTTTCGCTACTACGGCCTCTTTCAACGCTTCTCGCATCAGGCATTGGTACTCGTGCACGTCGGCTCGTGCCAGATCAAGCAGGTTGGGGAGCGTTGATATCCTCTTCTCGGAAGAAGTGTTTACTGCGAGGACATTTTTACTCTGCTGATGCTCTAGAAAGGCAACAGAGCCGGCCACTTCCGCATACAGGATGCTGCCACCACTTGAACTTGTTCGCGTCATATGCTTGTTCGAACGGTTTTCAGCTGCGCCAGAACCGCTCGTAGATGCCTTCGGTGTAGTAGTCAACATATCCTTCTCGAGCTGCTGGGTACTACAAGCACTTGACGTTGCATTTCCACTTGCCTCGGCAACATCAAGGCCTTCTTCTGCATCACTGCAGCGAGATGAAAACCTCACCGCCAAGGCACAGGCCGACATCCCCACCAGACCCCGCAACTTTACGCCAGCGTCGGCAAGCGCGAGGCAGGCGGCCATCGTCGCAGCTGAGGCTGTCAAGGACAAGGGATTCGGGTTTGCTGTTCTGGCTACAAGTGCTTCTCCCGGAGAACAATCAGTAGACGAAGTAGCACTACATGATGGACCGCTGCTTCCGGAAATTTTTGTAGTGGAGCCTTTACTTGTGTAAAAACCGCTCGTCCCGCTGCCTTGCTGCAACACGACGATATCCAGCATAATGGAGCCGGAGACTTGCTCGCTTTCCGGGCTTTCCAAAGTCTGCAACAAAACGGATTCCACAGTTTGCTTCAGCCGGTCGATCCACTGGCGCCGGTGCTTCGGCTTACTGGTTTGTTGGTGTAGTTCCTGGGTAGTGGAACTTAGAGCACCAGAGGCAGCAGTCGTTGAGCCAGTTGCGTCGAAAAAGCCGCGCACGTTCAGATCCAGCACGCCGCGACGATCCCGCCGTCCGCGGTGCAGCACGAGAATCTTTTCGTGTTCCAGCTCGACGTACCCGGACCCGAAACACGGCATACCACCGTCGGCGCCCGGGTGGCAAGAGGCGCGAAAAAGCGCATGTGGTCGCGGTGGTCGTGTTGGAGTTGTAGTAGCCATTCTTTCACTTTTTGGAACGCTACTTGTTCACTGCTGGTCCTCAGGCTCGTCCAGCTCTAGATGATAAATTGAAATGCTTTCATCAAAATGAAAAAACACTACCGGTTATGCGTCAAATAACCCTTCAAATATTTTTCTACCTCGCGTAGCAGGCTGGATGTGGTTCTCCTGGGTGTTCGTTGTTATAGTCGCGATATGGCGCTACAGCTACGTGTATGATCGTTCATTTTGATGTATCCAGCAAATGGGGATCCACACCCACAATATGGTTTGACGTTGATTTCCACAATGATCTTTTTTTCTGGTGAGCAGAATCAATGTGTATGCGTGGATCTCAGGTGAAATTTTCGATCTCGATTAAAACCAAATGAAGAGCACACGTCAAAGATCAGAACCTTATATCAGTTTCGAGTCGCGGGTATGAGCGCAAATCGTCCACGGAATACACATATTGAACTTGTTTGCCTCGTCCTCACAGACCAAACTACCACACATCAAAGATCTTTCACGTACACGATCGGACCTCAATTCAAGAACGCTTCCGAAAGCAGCGCGTTACTCTCTCCTCAGATTCCGCTTCACTATCTTCATGACAGTTTCACTGTGATGATTGGCTCTTTCTTTTCCCGGCTTAGTTCTTGGAGTTTGCTTCCGTGCTAGTTGATTTACGTATCGAAAACTGGCTTGAGCTGTAGCAGTTAAAGCTAAACAGTCACACAGTCGTTGGCTATGTAGTATCATCGTCAAATTATTTGTGTTTGTTGTCGTACATGAAAATCAGTGTGGCGCAAGCTCTTCGACGACAGGATGCATGAAATGAACGACAAACCGACATTCATTAATTTGCTTTTGCGGCTAAGAAATCTAACAGTTGCTCGACTTGGGCGCAGAATTTTTCGCGCTCATGCAACAATGTCGGATCGTCTTGCGCCTGCGCATCAGTCTTGTGCTGATCACCGCCACGACCGCTTCGTGGCACCACATGCCGGCGAATCTTGTTTGGAGGCAGCAACTTCGCCCGACTCTCCGTTCGTAGCCGACGCAAGTGTGTCACGACCCAACCGCGCACATTGAGCACCCTACGAGCCCAGTTCGACAGCAGTGGGGTAAAAGTAGATTTGGACGAGGACCATGGGACAGCTCTATCTTTCTTCAATGTCGGCGGGCGAGGTGCAGCACCTTTTGCTTCGAAGTCGTTGACATTCCATTTTCTCCGCAACTCTATCGCGCTTGCCTTCGGTATCCATATTTTCTTGCTCAGTTTCGTCGCCTTCGCAAAGAATTTCAATTTTCTCTTTTTCTGCTTCATTGCAGAAATACCGTGGAGGGCAGCCTCTTGGTCCGTTGGCGTTGCGTTTTTTGAGGTCTTGTAAATGTACTTTGTTCCGACTACTGTTGTTCTTTTTTCATTTTCGACTTCTGATTTCATCGTGTTCAACCTCTTGATGCTCATCTGCTGCATAGCAGATTCTCGAAAACGTTGCTTCGGCGGAACACTACCGTTGTGATGAAGAGAAGACGGGGTCCGCTGTTGTGGCGCTTCTGCAGTATCCTGCCCTTTTGTTCTATTTCCTGCATCGTGGTCCGATTGTGAAACAGAACTTGTGTTCGCGGCCTTGGGCTTTGCTGTCGAAACACTAAATGCAGGCCGTGAGGGAACAGATACAGCTACCGGATTCAAGTCCGCGGCGTCGTCAGAGGATGAGGAAGAGTCACTCGTCAGGAAATTGATGCGTCGCCGTGCAGTTTTGGCTTTTGGCTTCGCGGACGACGTTCCTGCAAAGGCAGCCGCTGGTGGCGCAGCTCCTACCCCAGTAGCATTAGTTCCAGAAACTGTGCTAGTTGACACAGATGCAGTGGCGCTGGACGACTCTGCGGCGGCACCAGATGATGCAGTCCCTGTTACCAGAGTCGTGGAAGTGGTAGCGGCAGTTGCAGGCTGTTGGTAGTTATGATCGAGGAGCCCCGTCTCGACTAGTACCGTGCCCGCGTTTCCACTAGCTCTCTTTTTCGCGGCGCACTTTGCCTTTGCCGTCCTGCCGCTTCCGGACTTTGGCCGCGCTGACGCGACATCCGGTTCCGCAGAGGCACCGGAGCCATTAGCCGCTTGACCCGTGAATTGTGCAGGCGGGAATGCGTCCTGCTCTTTTAGCGGATCTCCTTGTCCAGCAGAAGCAGTCGTGTCTGCAGCCCGTTCGCTATCAACCACACTCTTGTCGACATAGTCTTCGTTTGCTTTGCAACCATCCTGTTGCTGGTATTGTTCTCGCTGCAGTTGCTTCTCGTTTCTTATTTTTTCCTTCCGCCTCGCTTTCCGCTGTAAGGCACGCTGCAGCTTTACATCTTTCTTGACCAGAGCGGCGGAGGAAGTCGGAGCTGCGTCTCTTGCTTCCCACAGATTCGTGGTGCTGCCGTCGTCCTCAACCTTTCCTGTCGCGTCCTCTTTTTCGCTGTTCAGAACGCTGTTCCGCAACTTGTGCTTTTCGTTCTCCACCTTGCGCGCAATGCCGTTACTGTGCGGGGCTTTCGTCTCGGTAGCTGCCCGCTTGTTGGGTCCTCCACCGACAGGAAGAAGTTTTTCAGGGGGCAGCAAGCGGGTCGCACTAGCAGAGGAATCGTGACGCTTTTTGTCGTGCATCGTTTTGCTTTGTCTCGGAGGAACAGGCTGCTCTGTGTGGTTCTTTGTGGCCTCGCTTGCCACTCCTCGTGGGCCCTTGGTGACTACTTCCTTTGGTGCTACTGCAGCGGTTTCGGTTTTGTCGAGCGCAGAGCATATCGCATCCAATCTCTTGCTTGCTCTCTGATAGAAGCGTAGCAGAAATTGAAATCGTTTCCGGAATAGAGTTAGCAACGGATCTTCTGGCTGCTTGCGTGAAGTTTTTCTGCGCCCACGGCCACGCGCCTTTTGCCCGTTATAATTGATTTGCGAACGTCGCATTTTGCTGCCGATGCTGTGCAGTGGCTTATGCTGCACAGAATCCAGTCCGCCCGTCTCTGTTGCTGCTCGTATGTTTCCGCTTTGGTAGGGATAATTAACCGCTTCCCAGTGTGTCGCCGGCGTCTGGTGCTGAGCTGGAAAAAGACGAAACCTATGGTGTTCAGTGAGACCACCAGTGCCTGCCGCGGCGGCGGTAGGAGCTCTATTGCTTCTCGCAGCACCGTCCCCAAACGACCCACGTCCAGACCCTTCTCCTGGCCTGGCAGCGCGGCCGCCGTGATGCAGCTGCGCACTGCGTTGCGAGCTGGAGGACGAGCCGCCCGACGAGGATGAGCCGCTCGTTGAACCCGAGGATGAGGAGGAACCCGATTGAGACCCACTGCGCGAATCAGAAAAATTGCTCGAGCGTGACCGCGAGCGCGAAGAAGCTGAAGACGATCTCGATGATCCAGAGTTTTCATACGGATGAACAAGCTGCTTGCCTCTACCAGGATCTCGGTCGTGGCCATGCTGCGAAGCGGCATTCACATCGCGTCCACTTCCCCGAGCGGCAGAAGAACGAGAATTTCCACCACCGCCACGAGATGTTGACAGTCGTCGACGTCGTCCGCCTTGCAACTGGTTCTGTTCCTGAGCCGATCTTCTCCTGGAGTGACCGCGCGGCTTTTGATGCTTGACGTTCGAGACCGCGGGGGCAAGATCGAAGTTGGAAAGATTGTCGTTGTCTTCCACGCAACTCCGAAAGCGCTGGTCCTCTTCGGAAACCGAGGGGGAGGACGAGAACAAGGACAACCCGCCCGCAGCGGCGCCGTCCACCACAAGCACGATGGTTTGCTCCGTTTTGCTGTTCGACTGGGGGCTGCTGATTTTTGCGAGATCGTCGTCGTCCACGAGTAGTTCTTCTCGTTGCAACACTCCATTAGCTGTAATGGCCGCTAAATGACGGTTAGAAGTACCAGGGCCCCTCCTGTCCGGAGGGGCGAGCCCTTGTAGTTCCTGTTCGTCTTCGCTGTTGGGTGGCATGATCCTATTGCTTTTGCTTCCCGGTCGGAGGTCAGTGGTGTTTTCTTGTCGGTGAAAGAACTGCTCTAGGTACAGCATGGTGTCCGCCACCGAGACTGACTTCATGTCCTCATCTGTAGCACTGCCCGTCATCTGTTTACTGATATCGTCCTCTTCCTCAACAGGGGAATTGAACAACATACCATCAGTGTTGTACTTCTCCAGCTGTCCCGCAACCTCGTTCAGAAACGAGTTTTCCGCTCGTGTTTGATGCGACAGCGGATTCATTGCTTGCGCGCCAACATCCGACACTGTCAATATTGGAGCAGCTCCTTCGTGACCACGGTGAAGAGAATCTTCCGGCCGAGACAGTGCCAAACTAGCAGCGCCGTCATCTTCTACTTCCCTCAAGGCCTCCGCCCCAACTTGCTGCTGTGCTGCGAAGAATCTACTGCGAAGAAGCCCTCCTCCGCCGACCTTGCCTGTCCTCCCATCGTTCATGTTGCTTGATGCGTCGCCGACTGGACTCCATTCGGGCGTCCTGGGTGGCACGAGGGGTTCGTTTCCGCGGCTCGTAACCTCTGCTGCTGCCGATGACGAGGTCCTAATATCGGCACCGCTGTCCTTGGACGACGAGAGTTGTAGAGTCTTGGGAATGTTGATGCTCAAAGAAGTGGAGGAAGAGTTCATGATTTCTGCCACGAGCTGCTCCGTTGTCTTCGATTTTCGCTTTTCAAATTCCCGGTCGTAAACGGTGCCTAACGCCAACTCGTTGTTGCTGTTGAAGAGATCGTAACTATCTCCTACACAATCACCAAACTGTTTCTGCGCAGGATTTGGAGGCTGCAGGCGGTTTTCCGCACTGTTTCTTTGGAGGAAAAGCGCGCTCGCCACAGGGTTCGGATTGGTGGTCGGGGAAGCACCAAAAGGAATCAGCTCTTGCGGATCATCATCATCTTCTTGCTGCGAAAACGACTCGGCCTGCTGCTGCTCGTCGCCAAGGACTTTAGATTGTAGTTCTTCTTCCAAATTAACTGGTGCAATCTCCAGACCAGCTCCCCTGCGACGATGCCCTCCAGGTCGTGCAGCAGTAATTTTCTCAAGCTTTCCCTTCGTTGCATCGTCGCGCTTTCGCTTTCCTCGCGTACGATGTTTCTTCGCCGCGAAGTCGGCGAGTTCCAGGTCCTTCAAGTTTTTCGTCTGACTTAGCAGTCGTAGTGGCTGAGACGAGACCTGATGAGAAGATATTCTTCTACTACCCCCCTGCGCCGGCGGGGACGGTTTGTAAATGAACTGCTCGTCGTCTGGTTCGTCTGTGTGCACAAATTCATCCTCGTTGTCAGCATGGTCGCGAAGCTGCGCAGCACGAGAACTACTCGCCTCCTCGCTGGTTGACGAAGCGATCTTATTCAGTGGAGCTGCGCTTCGTGTTCTCTGGTTCGTGTGGGATTCGTCCGGAAGTACTTCTTGCGGCTCTAGCGCGTCAACATTCTGTGTTTGACTGTCATACACCGCCAGCAAATCGTGCGACATGGTTCCTACAGCAGGAGGAACACGGTCCTCGTCCTGGTCTTCGGCCCCGGCGGGAATAGCTCTACTTGGTTGGTAGAAGTTTCTTTCATCAACATTCTCTGCCTCGCCGTCGGAGGCCGAAAAAACGTTCATTTCCGCCAAAACAGACGCGATGTTCTGAGACGCCTCGAAAATACGCTCGGGACTCTGTTCAATGTTCATTTCTAGTTCAACAGCAGATGAACGAGTGACATCATTCGGTCGATCATCCCCATTGTGATTACCATCAGGTCCCGGGCACGGCAGCTGAATGACGCCAGCGGGAGAGCAGGACCCGCCGAGCGGCGACCAGATCGGCGTAGAAATAAAGATGTTGTCGTTGTAGCTCGTGGCGTACAGGGGTACGGGTGAGTTTGCTGCAGATGATGTTGGACGTTGTTGACCCTGTAGTTGCTGCGCTGATCCGGCGTGCTGGTGCGGAGAAGTAGTGTCATATTGCTTCATATGCGCCGCGCTATCCCCTTCTGTTCCGGATTGGTACGTTGAAGTGATCAGGCTTACTATCGGAGGTTCTTCTTGCACCATCGTCGTCCCGGCCACGGCAGTGCCAGCAGGTTCCACGTGGGGCGAGTTCATGCGCGATTCGCTGGATTTGGTCTCGCTGAAGAACGACTTCACGATGTTTTTCGCTTCTTCGAGAATCTCAATCATGTCGTTTATGACGTTCTCAAATGCTACACTCTCAAGTGTTCTTGCATGAGCAAAATTCCAACCAAAATCGTAATCGACACGATCAAGCTACTCCGCATGACAAATCCTCGCAAGGCCAAACAGGCTGAGAATCCGTGCCAAGTCTGTCATGCAAGACGCGCAAAGTGAGCCCTTCACTTTTGCCATTCGTGCGCCACAGATTCATGCAACAGCTGAGAATGTAACAGTTGAGAGCGCCATATCGTTGTCGTTGAATTTCTGCGACGACGAAATCTCGTCGCGCAGAAAGTCAACGGAAAAAGAATCCAGATTTTCCATCACCCGAGAAAAGAAGCAGTCCCCTTCGGTCTCATACGCACTGGAGAGCATCCTCTTCACGGTGGACGAGACGTTGGAGGTCGGCGAAGTCGCGTCGATGTTGTGCAGACCGGCCCCGGCGAAGTGTTCTTGCAGCCAGGAGTCTGCGTCATAATTTTTGTTGAGCTGGTAGTATTGCAGATTCATTCTTTCGTCCGTGTGCTGCATATCGTTTTCGACGTAGAAATCATGACGAAAGTCATTCACCTGCAGATCGACCAACTGTTCCGCTGCGGTGGGCGATCTTATCGTGTAGAGCTGATGTGACAACAGCGTGGTCCCATCGACCGAAGGAACACCTGCTTGAACAAATCGTCGACTACCTTGTCCTCGGACAGAAGTCGTGTTCTTGACATTGTTGAAACTAGTGCCCGGAACAGTTACAGCCGGATAAAATTCCTTGTAGGCGGTATTGAAGAGGTACTCCGTCGCAGTCGAAGGCACCGGACTGTTCGTGCGCTGCCGGGTATCATTATTTCCACTCGCGGAGGACACAAAGCCCGGTTGCAATTGACGTGGTGCCGCCTCCTCGTCCGTGGTGTCGTCGGGGGGATAGGGTGGCGGCGGGGGCGGGGTCTCGTCGTCATCTTCGCCTTTTATTTCGTTATCTTCCATTGTTGTACGACCTTCACCTGCAACTCCCACATTCAGCCGAGCTGCTGCTCCCTCGATCGCCAGTCCCGGGGGTGGCATGAAGTGGCGTTCGAAAATCTGGTTCACGTCCCGCACCAACAGCTGGTTCGTTTGGTAGGCAGTGTAGGAGTTGAAATGGTTCTGAAGCAGCATCCTGTAGTTCCCCGCCCCGGCGGCCGCCTTCGGTTGTGGCGCAGAAGCGAGCTGCACTCCCGGCAAAACCTGCACATCTCCGACGTACCCTGCGTTCACCCCACCGACGAACGTCAAACCTGCGGCTCTTCTCCCGTACTTGGCATTTTTCTCTTTTTTCCGCTCTTCCCGCTGCCTCACCGCCATGCGCTCCAGTATCACCATCCGGGAAAGCAGCCCGGCTTTTTGCACACGCTTGTGCTCCTTCTCGGAGATCTGTTTCTGCAGCAGCTTTTCCGCAAACAAAAGGTCCACGTTGCTGTACAAAAAGGTGCGCCACTCCGGGTGCACGAGCACACTGTTCCCGTTGCTACCGACTAACACCTTTCCGTAGCACTTCCGCACGATGCTGCTGGGGGCGTTCAGGTAGTTGGAGATCTCCTTGACGAACTGGCTGTTGCCGTAGTAGTGCTTTTGAGTTTTCTGGTTTTGCAAAATTCTCGTGAATTCCGAAAAGCCGTTCGTCAAGCTGCGCTGCACCCACTGCAGGTACCGCCGCATACTCTGCCTGACGCGCCAGAACCCGTACGAAATTGTGGCTTTCGGGAGTTGGTGATACGGTAGTGGTGGCGACTTTATTGCTCCGGGTGCTGCAGCAGGTTGGGCCCCATGAGGGTTGTTGTGTAAAGCGGAATTGATTCTTCTATCACCTCCCTGCAACACGAAGTGTTTGTCATCTTTTCCGTTCCTCGCTGCGGCCCAGGAGCGCTTTGTCCTCATATACCGCTTTCCGCTTTTCATCTTGCCGCGTCCATTTGTTTTTTTCTGGAGGTTGATGGTGGCGCGCAAATTGTTCTGATGCTCCCGCAACGTGTTAGAAACTATGTTTACCAGGGAAACCGCTTTGGAGTAGCTTCCGTCGGTTGCACTTGCAGTTGTTTTGTCGTCCGCACTTCCATTTCCTCCTCCAGCACGACCCCCGTTTTTCTTGCCCCTGGACAATACGGGAGGATCGGGTCCTCCGGTGGAGGTTGCTCCTTGTGCGAGCGCGCGCCCCTCCTTCAGAAGTTCCTGCAATAGGAGGAAAAAGCGAAGCATCTCCTGTTGTCGAAGCCCTGACGATATTTGATTGTTGTCGTAACTTTTGCATCTTCCATTCTTGCGGTGATTCTTTCCTGTGGGTGCAGCAGCAGCCCCAGCTGTATTGATCTGCTCCTTCATCTTTCCGTGGCCCTTTTTATTTGGTTGTGCTTTTTTGACTTTATGTTCTAGTCTCGAATCCGCGAATGTTATTGACTCACACGCTCCGCTTGGAATAGCGCTGGAGGCCGCGCTTGCACCAGCCGGTTTCATTTTCTTTGCAGAGGAAAATGGCAAGTTTGACGATGAAGATGACGACGAAGATTTAGCCGCTCTTTTCTGTGGACCTGGAAGCGACGAGGTGTCGGCAGTGGTGCTTTGTTTCCCGGCTTGTTTTCCTGGGAGGTTTACGTATGTTTTCATCTTTGGCTCCGTACTATCATCGGCTCCGCCGGCACCAGAAGCATCCGCTTGCGCTTGTGCGACATTTTCCCTTGCAGCCGCGATGCTCTTCCTCGGCCCGGCCTGGCTGGTGCCTCGGTTCTTTCCTTGGCGGCCGGCGCCGGCGCCCACCGTCGTGATACTAAAACCAGTGCCCGTCATCTGCTCCGGGTTGTACTGTACTTGCGCGCCATTCGTTTCATCTTCCCCTGCAACGATGCCTAGTGGAGCTGTTCCCTCTTTGCCGCCCTTGGTCCCCGCCTTTCGTGCTCGCTTCTGCTTCCCTTTTCCCTTCACGACCCCTGTACCAGACGCAGGCTTTGGTAAAAATTCTTGCGCAACCATCGCAGTAGGACCAGCTCTCTGCTTTCCGGCAGTCGCTTCAGGTGGCAGCTCCGCCTCTTGCGCTTTTTGATCATGCTCTCCTACCACAGTGTCAGGTTCTTCAGTGACCATTCTCTTTCCCCATTTTATCACACGACCTCCGCTGGATCTAGTAGTTGCAGCGACATCACGAACTTGCGTAGAACGTTTCACCGCGTTGGCAGACGTAGACGGAGCTGGTGCTTCTTCTAGCGAGCAACCCTTTTGAGTTGCTTTCGATTGTTGGTCGCTTCCGTGGTTATTTGCCGCGTCCTCTATTGCACTTTTACTTTTATTCTTGTTCTTCTGTACCCCCTGCTTTCTCTTCTTGGAACTGGGAGGTGCGCGAACAGGCTGCTCTGCAGGTGCGTCAAAAGCGCTTGTGTTGTTGTCCGTTCTGCCGGCGCCAGCCGTCAAATCAGACCCGTCTTCTCTGGAACCTGCTGCTTCCTCGTTTCTAGCCCGTTCCTCCAGCACGATTTTTCGCAGTTCGTGCAGACTAGGCATGGGTGCTCTCCCCGGCCCTGGCACAGGGACAGCTTGTCGTGAAGAATCATTTTCTCTCTCAGGCACGGTGCCGGGACGTCGAGAGGATCTCGTGCTAGTATTTCCGCTATTATCAGCGGTGGCTCGCAAACACGAACTCGCCTGAGCTTCCTGAGCTTGCTCCGCTTTCGTCTTTGTACCGAACTTCTTGACCGGATAGGACTTGGGAACTTTCGCTTGTTTCTCAGCAACAGCAACCTTAGTGCAAGTTGCAACCTGGCGGCCTTGATTTGCTTTCTCTACTTCCTGGCTTGCTGCTATCATGGTTGTACTTTCCTTCTTCACTGCATGGACTGCAAGGGCCGGAGGCGGCTTTTCCCTCTTCATCACCGGGATTAAACGCAGCGACGTTGCCCGACAATCTTTCCCGGAAAATCCGCGAAAGGCAAACTCCGCAAATTCGCACTGCAGCCAGCGACTCAGCAGCTTCGTGCTACAATTTGTTCCTGCCAGCGCGACCTGCTTCATGCTGCCTTTCTCTTCATGTTCATCACGCGCATCTGAATTTAGAATTGCGTCAACTTCAACATCGTCAGTTTCTGCCTCTGCGGTCATCAATTCCGCTCCCTCTGGCGAAACTCTACTGCAGTGCTTACTGAAAGTGCCCAGTAGTCCCGCGGCCCTCTTGTTTATGTCGGTTTCAGTTGCGCCAAGCTCCCCGGTGGCGCTTTCTCTGTTGTTCTGCTTTTCCCTCTTACTCTTTCGTTTGCGCTTGTTAGATCCGCCGGCAGCCGCGGCGTCCTGAGTCGCATCTCCTGCGAAAACAAACTTCCGAAACGATTCCAGAAAACCTTGCACTCGACGTCCTCGAAATTTCGGCGGCTTTTGTTGTACCACCGGCGGCACGGTTACTGCGGTGGTAGGATTATAAGATTGCGCACCAGTTCTTTGCTGCGCGCACCGCGCTCCTCCGGTGTCGAAACGTTTTGCTTGATCTTGACCAAAAAGATGAACGTTGTCAGCTGCTCCTTTGTGGGAAAGATCTTCGCCTCCAGCACCACTACGTTGCTTTATTCCGTGGTTTTGGTGCGAAAAAGGGTCGTCCTGCCCCACACCTAGTGTGTTCTTTCCATCAAGATTTGCTTCGCTTTCGTCGAAGATTCCCGCCTCCTCGACAACAGCAGCCAGCAGGTCGTCCAGATCCACAACTTCAAAGCTTGTCGTACTGTTTACTTCAACATCGTCATTTTCATTTTCGTGGAAGTCTCCAACTTCCCCGCTGAAAAAGTTTCTATTTTCCGCGATCTCTATCATGGGACCACGACCGCGACCGAGTCCGGGTGAGCGTGAGTTCTGACGGCGGCGCTCTTCCCGGTGGCCATAGTTCTTTCGGTAAAAACCTTCCGCACCAGGGACCTCCTGGCTCGTGCTCCCAGCAACTGGCGACCGATCGACGAGCTCCTCCCTTCTAGAAGTCGATCTACTCCTTCTGCCAGCTGTCTGGTGCGTGATCTCTATTTCTTGCAGATGTCTGTCGTTATTCCCTTGTTCTGCAACCGGCTTCAGGCGACCCGCTGGGGACAGTGAATTCTTCCGCGACGACGTCGGTCTTTGCACCCTTGGTTCTCGCTTGTGTAGTTCCTCACTAAAGTTATTTTGCGCCACCACGGCATTTTTAGTGCTCGCAGAACATGGTGGCGCCAAGTGCTGCAACAACGGGTGGGCGATGTGGTGGAAGTGCAACTCGAAGGGATCCCCGGGCGAGACAGCGAGGGGTGTGGTGCAGGTGCTAGACTTGTTCTGATGTTGTTCTTGCCGCTTCTTGTCCAAATTGATCAAGTTGGTCGCGCGAAACTGGTGGTCGGCGGACAAAATTTTCAAGTTTTGCTTCAGCGCCTTCTGTCGGTTGCGATTGCTGGCGCTCCGCGCACTAGTTCTTCGACGCTGGGGAGGGTTACGATTTTTACCATTACCCTTTCCAGGTAGTTCCCGATGTTGATGAACAGCGTCGATTTCTTGTTCCTCCCCGCCTGTCGAATCGTACAACCCGTGGTTACTGGCCGCCGCCCGACCTCGGCTACTGCTTCCGCTTCTGGACGACTCGTTTCTGGAAGAACTCCGCAGGGAAGAGGAGGAAGAGGACAAGGAGCGAAAATCCGAAACGTATTCGCCGAAGGACTTAATGCTTGAGTTCTTTCGCATCTGTGCTTGGTGGTGATGCTGCTGCTCAGAATTCTGGTGGTGGTGCTGCAGCGGAAGATGGTGGACGAGTTGCGCCGCGTGCTGTTCGGTGTGCTTGCTCTTCGCGCGTCGGTTGGGCCGCGGGTGTAAAAACGCCTGCCGCCGCCGGACGGCCGAGGGACTCCGCTCGTCATCAGCCTGCTCGACCTCTTCGTCGTCCACCACCTGTGGGCGTGTTTCATGGATGCGGAAACTAAAACTATATTGCAAGTTGATGGGCTACTTCTTGGGCAGTCCATGCGTCGCCTCGAAAACAGAAGCATCAAGACACCACATAGAACAGCGATGCCCGGGTGAAACAGAAAGACAAGGACACTCTGATATTAGTAACTAGATATTCACACGGCAAGCAGGACGAGATGAACTGACATCAACCACATCGAAAGTAAAGGTTGATACCCCAATGCTCTGCTCCGCGCCGTGGACGCCACCACCACGCGTCCTCTTCGCCTCATCCCCTTCCCCGATCGGCTCTGAATCGGTGCTGATTTGCATCTGCGCACGGACGAGAGAAGCAAAATCATCCTGCGCGATAACAGGAGCAGGAGGCGCTTCATTTTCATCTTTGAAGTTGCTAATGTCCATCTTGGATGTTTGCGACAAACGCGCTTTTACCTATTTGTTCGCGTGGCCTGTCAGACGAGCACCAGATTTCGGTCCCCTAGTCAAATTCAACAATCGTGTGAAGAAAACTGAAAACCGCAAAGTCGAACAGTAATTGCGAATCTGTCGTAAATTTGAACCGCCTTTCGGTCGTAAGAGAAGCTCGAAAGTCTAGATATTCATAGCATAAGGCTTCAGCGGTAACTAATTAGCGTGTGGTGGAAGAAGAAGAAGAAGAGGAAGAAGTACGTGTAGTGTAGATGTAGAATACATTTGGGCTACTGAGGTATCACGATACGGACGGCTGTACGACAGGAGGACAGGCTTCTACAGTTTCTTGCAGGCAGGTGCAACAACGATTTTACTTTCAGAAAGTTTCTTCAGAAATGAAAACGGATGTTTATGACCGACCCACACTCACAGAGGTACGTGGAAAACGCCGAGGAAGAGAAAAGGTGAACAAAGCTTTTCGCTGTGTTGACCAAGAAGTAGCTAGATCAGCATCCGTCACCGTCTCTGTGTCCGCTACAACGGCTGTGCTGATTCAAACCAATCAAGGAGTCGGCTTGCTACAGCTAGAGCTACCCAGTGTAGGCACAAAAAATTATTTCGATGTAAAACATACGTCATGCGAAGACGAAGCAAAGCAGATTTGTACAGTCAAGAATTCCATCTTTCAAAGGAAAGGTCGCAGTCAACCACAACAGGAGGACGGGAGTTCAAGACACGCAAAAGGAAATACAGGCAAAAAAGTATATACTGAATTTCTAGTACCATATATGTAACGTCGAGCAAAGTAGTTGTAGAAAGAGAAACGGAAAGGAGCCCCGTTTTATTCATATGATGATGGGGTCGAGCTGGGCTCGGCACTATTCATATGTGAGTGACCAAAACTAAAAATCCCGCACGTCCCACTCCAATGAAGTGCCTCCGAGAATCTTTAAAGTCACACTTGCCATACTGCTGGGCAGCCGGTCATGCGTTTCCCCGAGTGCATGTTTTGCCTCAGTGTCTAAGTTCTTGGCGGTCGCCTCCGCACCTTCCGCTCGCGCCGATCGAAATGCTGTCTCTGGGCCGTCGCGCGGAAACGTGATGTCATCGACTTGCAATGCTGCATCCTCCCTAGAAGGACTGGCTTCTCTGTTCGGAAAAATCCGTATTCGCTGCAGCCGCGCGACTTTGAAGGTTGCGTTTTTACTGGGATGTTTCTTCATCTTCAAAATTTCGACCTCGAATACGAAGACAGGCTCGAGCTCGATATCGACGCTAGTATGCGGCGTCCTCTGAGAAGTCGTAGCTGTGCCACGACAAAACCATTTTCGGCAAACACCCATGTTTGGTGACGTAGTACCGGGCCCGCACTCTGCTTCGAGCTCGTCCCGTTGCGGTATGTCTATCTCGGGAAGGTGCAGGGCGAAAAAAACGCGGGAGCGTAGAGATTCTTGCTCGGACGACGATGTTGAAGTTGGTGCGCTAGTAGTCCTTGACGTTCTCTTCCCCTGCAGCAAACAACCGCCTTTACTCTTCCATGTGTACATCTTGCTGGCCGGATTTCTTCCTTGTACGTCCTCAGCGTCCATGTGCTTCAGAATCGCATCGAAAACAGAAAGAGAATTTTCTGGGGGCCTGTGACATTTTCCTGCAAGATCAGAATCTAGACCAGTGCTGCTGTTTGCTTCCCTTCCCCCGCTGCGCTTGTCCGCCGATGCTGATGCTGAACGAACGCTCTCATCAGGTTTGACTTTCTTCCGACTACTACTAGTAGTACAACTCGTCTCCTGCTTCACCACAAATTTGAGTGCCTCTTTGGCCAATGCGCGGACGGCACGGTGAAACTCAGGAAGCACCAAGTTTTCCAACTTCAGAATGTCTGTCGCGGCTATCGAAAACGACTGTGTCGGTTCTTCCTCGCCTTCCGAAATGAAGCCCTCGTCCGCCGGTTCAAGTTGGTGATCGACGTCCAGAGCGACGTCAAGTCCGCTGTTTGCCGCTTGCTCCGCGCGCTTCAGATAATTCAAGACGACGTTTTTGTCTTCGCTCTTCAAGGCATGCAGGAAATACCCGAGCATGAATACTGGATGCAACATGATTCCTTTGGTCTTCACCCGTCGGTTGAACTGCCGAATAGAATGCGGCGTGCGGTGCACAAAAGCAACATTCAGATTCCCCTGCCGATCGGAACACGACGGCACCGAGCTCGCACCGCCGATGGCCGTGAACATTTGTTCGACTTGCGAAATTGCTTCAGGGAGGCGGTTCTTGCGAACCAGCTGAATGCTGGCAGGCACGGTCGAAGCAACCCCGACCTGCTCTTCCACTATTTGTATTTGTCAGGGTGGCTTGTTGAAAATCAGTGTGTCGTGGTAGAAAGCATCCGCTTCGACGAGCCCAAGCCTTATCAGTTGCTCAAACACCTCGCGCTTCTGCTGCCTCACGCTGGCGGGGTCCTGGGCTGCTGATGCGGAAAGTTTGTATGTGCAAGCACCTTCAGCGGACGAAGTTGCATATCGCGGAAAGTAGACAACCCCTGGCAACATAATTCTTGGAAAACCTGCAAGAGCGCCACCGGAGTAGTGCCGCTTCGCGTTGCCGAAGAGTCTTTGCAAAACCGAAGAACGCTTAGCCTCATCGCTTGGACTGCAAAGACCGGAAAATTCAGCAGGTGCGTCGTGGTTGCCGGGCTGTGGTTGTCCTCTCACTTGGTGCGGTTTTGCTAAAGTTACTGTGGCAATGGGGTCACCCGACACACTGTAAACAGGAACTTCGACTCGTTCAGAAGACAAAAGTAGACCACCTGTTGCGCAGGTTTGTGATTTCCATCGCGAGAATAAGCTTGAGTTTGTGGCTCTTTTCGGCAGCGACGCTCTCTGCTCGGAATCTGCGTCAGCCTCGTCATCCGCAGACATGTCTCGTCCTGAAGACAGAAGCCCCCTCCAGTTTCGGAGTATTTGCTTTGCCAAGGCTTTCGAACCACGGTGGCAGGCGAACAAGGAGAATAAGCTTGGCGCAGCGCCTTCGAGAAGCGGCGCGGAAGACAGCGATCGCCTGTTCTTGTGCAATTCCTGGCCCGGCTCTTGCTGGCGATCACCAGTCTTTTCCTCTTCAGAATCGAGGAGATGCCTCTCAGTCTCAGCCAGCGATGGCACACGGGCAGCATTCGTAAGAATCACAAGCGAACTCTTCGGGGATCCGCTTCCAATTCCACTCAACCCCAACAGTTCAAACTCCTCGCGTATGATTTTCTGTACGAGGGAGCAGAACTGGAGCGAGAGCAACAGCAAAACGAATTGCGGCAGCATGAACGATGTCCTCGCGCCTCTCGTACCACTACCTGAGAAAGACAGCCGCGGTAGAAACACACGGCTACCCTTGTCCATTTTTGTTAATATAGTACGCTCGTTTTGAAAGCGAAATTTTTGAGGATAATCCTCGCGTTAATTACACAGTACACGACTTATCAAATCCCAACATCCTTTCTTCGGGCACAGAAGTCAAGATAGGGAAAATAGGTATAGATTGGAAAAAACTAGAGTCGGACAAATTCAACGATTGCTGTTTGTGTTTTCTGCAAAAGCTGGAAACACCAGTACTATCAAATGAAATGGAATTAGAAGAAGCACGATATTCGTACGAAGATTGACCGGCCGCACAAGAGGAAGATAGCCTTCTGATGGTGTTTTTTGAGCGAAATACGTGCGACACGAGACAACTCTACGTTTTGTAGGATCCAGGTTGACCGAGCAGCAGGAAAATTAAAACTGAGGGATCGCACATACAAAGACCACCTTCGCCTGCTCATCATTCTTCGCTATAGGCTACGGACTCACTGGGTGCTCACGTTTGGCTAACTTTCCCAAGCGCGTCTTGCTCCTGTACTTTTTATTTTTCCGCATCATAATCATGTACATGTACATGAATTTATTTCGTTTTTTGCAATAGCCAAGGGTAAGGGCAGCGCAAGATGATCAAGTTTCGGGAGTGCTCCCGTACTTCGCGTTAGTACTAGTTCGTTTTTGAATTTCAAATTTATTGCAGGTATGTAAAGGTGGGAAGAGAACGAAAGCGACAGAAATATCATACCGAGGTGGGTCCGAAAGTATTCAAATAGTAACCGCAGACGAGACATCAAAGTAGGATTGACGTAGGAAAGCTTTGTTTCTCTTTCAGCAGGAATGTAATTGTCTAGATAATCCGAAAGAAAATGGTAGGAGCGGCAAAGTATTTCATTAGGAATTCGTTGCTTCACTAAAAAGAACTGATTCAAGGACATAGCTTGTTGTACGAAGTCCAAGTTAGTATGCTTAGATACTCCGATGCATTTTTCATTCACCAAATCCGAGGAGGCATGATTAGCATACAACTACGTTCTTTGCTTGCGTGTTTGCGCAGCTTCCTTCCAGCTCTCTCTACGCGCCCCCCGTTCTGGCCGCGGCCTCCATGCGCGAGCTGTTGTCTGCTTCATCACCCGTGCCCGCCGCAGAGCCGTTGATCCCCAGTACCTTTCGAAACGAATCTTGCGCAATGGTCGTGGCGCGGGAAAAGAGCAGCTCCGGCTTCCGCAATTTGTTCTCCGGGTTCGCACCCGGACTGGCAGCAACCCGAAGCGGACGAAACTCCGACCCAAACACCGGCTTGCTGCTGGTCATCATGGGAGTAGTAGTGGCGGCGTGCTTCTGCTGCTGGTCCACAGTCGGGGTGGTTGTGAGCTGCTTGTTATTTCCACCTGAATGCTGTAGTGGCTGCGGTGGGGGCTGCACCATCGGCGTGCCAAAGTGCATCTGATTCATGCGAATCTGCATCTGGTTTTGACTCACCGTCCCAATGTTGCTTCCGAGAATCTCGGGGCTGTTTTGTGTTGTTTTTATTTTATCTCGCAGGAAGTTTGTGATTAGTTTATCTCGCAGGAAGACTGTGACTGCCACTGCCTATCTGTCGCTACAAACTACAAGGCCATCTTCATGCAGCAAGTACGCACACCAATCCCAAAGAAGATGACAATCTCAAGTCGCATAGTGTTGAACAATTTTATTGTATACCTGTCATGCTTCGATGCTATGGTACGTTCTCCGTCACTCGATGGCGGCGTGATATCTCCACCATTTCCGTGGTACCCTCTGCTGCCGGCCTGAAGTATAGTTCGATTTTTGCATGATGATTCCTGCTACTTCTGTTGAACTGGACTACAACATCATGCTCGCGCAAAACAGAGAAGTGTGCAAGTGCAAACTACTTGATCAAGTGCAAAAAAGTATTCAAACAAAACGCAAAAGTAAAGTGAGCAAGTGAGTAAGTACCTTCATCCGCTCTATTTCCTGTTCGTAAAACAAGCATTGTTTTCGCACCCGATCCGCTTCTCCCTCTAATCGGTACAGCTTTTCTCTTGATTCGCCCAGTGCTCGCTGCAATCGATGAATAGCTCGGTCCTGTGGTTTATTGTTGTGATATTCTCGTCTCTCGTCATACAAGAGAACGCGTTCCGGTAACATTTCAGATATCCTGAATGCACTGTGCAGCATGAGCATCGGTTCGACTTTCTTAGGAACAAAAATTGGAACTTACTACTTGTACTTGGTTAGATTCCGTTCGGGAAAAAAATCGTATAATAGTACTTTGTTCGCCCCGGCCAGAACTGGCACCACGGGATTTGTGGACGGCGCGTTGTAGTTGATGGCACTGGTATCTCGGGCGGACATGGGTCGCGTGGAGGTAGAAGTCTTCGGAGGCTTCGAAGTTACGATCGACTGCTCGGTTGCACTGGACCCGGTGTTCGTCGACCGCCGCTGGTTACGCATCACAGACAGGTCCGGATGCGCACCACCAAATCGACCCGTCGTTGACCGCAGCATGATCTTCGTGGCGTCTGTGTCTGATGGAGACTTTTACAACGCGCCCGTCCGAAGATACTGGTGTGTGGTGGGACTGGGAGGTGGCAATTAGAAATTTAGCGACAGTAGTACTACAGTCTTCACAACAAACGTTCTCGTCTCCCTCTTCGCGGTATTTTTTTTGGATGTCAACAAACGATGGACAATTTGTTCAATACATGAAAGAGCGAGATGAAGGAGTGGTAATCCGTAAATTCAGTGGGGCTGCACACGTGCTTTCTTTCAATGTTGTGAAAGGTAAATGATCATGATGCGGGTTTGATTCGCTCTCTCTCAGAAGTATGAGGATATTCTGGGGTGGTGAAACAAATCCCATGGCGTTGACTCGTCTAGGTGTGATGGAAGAAGACGCCAACCTCAACGTGAACGAGCACCATGGGTGTACTTTTTTACACGACAAGAAGCACAGCAATCGTGAGAAACGCTGGCTTCCTTTCAAACAAAGAAAACAACACTGAAGTAGAAGCAGGCTTGGAAATCAAACCAGATGACTCTGACTGCTCAGCCGGACCGATTCTCGCTATTTTCTTGTGAATTAGAAGCCTGGACATGTTGGCCGTGGAGTGAACGCGGGGTGATTGAAATCAACCGCAGATCATTGCAGTCGAGGTTGAGGATTTGACTTGGACTGCGTTCGGTTGGATTGAGATCTTCCGCAGGCATAGCATGTTCAGACAAATGCGTCTTCTGTTTTGTTTGTTCCACAACCTGAAGCAATGTGTAATGTCCTTGTGCTCGCAGTTCAATGCTGGCGATGCCGAAGCTAATCTTATCTGCCCAACCGTCTACCACCTCAGAAGGATGCGGGTGCGCGCACGGTTCACACGATTGACCAGACAAGAAGCGCAACAAGCACTCCCGCGCTGTGATGCAGCAATCGTCTTTCTCCATGTGGGTTTCGCAGTAGTACCGCCAGCCTTCTTCGGCGTTCAGAATTCTCTGACGTTGCATTCTCCGCTGGTGTAATTCCCCTTGTAGAGGGCAGCGGACCGTGAGGAAGACGGACTGCAGAGAAAAGCGACACTGGACATCCGTGCTAGAAGGCGTAGCGCTTTTGCCTTCTGGCCCGAAATGCAACACAAAGTGCAAGTCCAGGTATTTGCAATACTTATTTTCGACCTCGTTCGTGTGGCAAGTCCAGTATACCATCCGATCGAACTTTTTCGAAGTAGAGGCCGGCTCGCATGATCTGCGTTCTTTCGCTGAGTTCCGCGATGGGGAGGTGTGTGCCAGAAACATATCTGGCAGGTCAAAAACCGGGCAGAGTCGACAAAGCCGTTGCCAAGCGAAACCCATTTCGTTCCCAACATGTTCGCTTTTTAGCACAGGATTCGGCAGACGTCGAGCCTGGAGATCCAAATACCGTAGACACTTTCGTGCCGGGCAGAAGTGATTTGGGTCCCGAACACATTCCGGCGGTGCAAGCGAAAGAATTTTATCGTCTTTGCTTAACTCATGGTGATTCATCATACTGTGGGCCCCCATGCCCAGTCCGTGAGGATCTACTTCGGCCTCTGTGATGCTAGCTACATCAAGCAAGACGAAAGAGTTTTCCAAGAACCGGGACGCGGTAAAGAGACCAAAAGTGAAAGCCTCTGCGAAAGAACCTTCTTCACTGCACAACACACCTCCGGCGCACGTGATTTGTTGTTGTTCGCGGTTTTTCCCAACTTTTGGCGTCGCAAGCAGGTCGTCATCCAAGATCATTCCGGACCACTCCCTGGTCGGCAGAAGGGGGTCCTGAGTGGCCTGTGCCTGTGGTGCATCGGAACAACCCCATAATGCTTGCAACTTCAAGCTCGAATTGACCCGGGCTTTTTCTTTTTCTCGTTGCCGTTTCTGCTGCTTTCGGCCCCTGTATAAGGTAAACTCGTTGTTGTCCTCGGACTCTCCGTCGGAAGCCGCCGAGGGCTGCCAATCTGAAGCAGGAGCATCTTCTTCTACCTCCGAGAAGGACGTGCTCTCGTCCTCGGCCATGTTCGATAGCTCGAATGCTTCGTCTCCTCCGCTAGTGGCGTCTCTTTCTTGAGATGAACCCACTCCTTGCAATTTTCCCTCTCCATGCGGCTGTCTTTGCAGCTCAGAAAAGACGAGCATCGTCTCGGACACAGACAACTTTCTGCGCTTGATGTGCGGTTCCTCCTGCGTCTTATTGCCCTTCTCGTCCACGAAGTGGTTGTTCGAATTGGCGTAATCGCTAACGGTCGTCATTTTGCTTGTTATCTTTCCTTTGTTTTTTTTGTTATTGTTACTGTAAGTAGAATATTGATTGGTGCAGTTCCTTTAGATAATTTCACACTGTGATGAATGTTGCAGATACAGTATTATTGATTGAATGAATAGATTTCGTCCTTGAGACTAAAACTTGTGATGTGCGCACTGAATTAGCGGAAGGGCGGTCGTGCTGACACTATCAAGTGGGGCCGCGATGACTGCAATACCACTTAAGCAGAAGCGGCAGCTATAAAGAAGATGTTGACCACGGATTTTTCAGCAGGTACCTATTCGCAGCGTCAAATAATATTTTGCGTAGACTTTGCAAGAAGATTTGAAGCACTGCGAAACCTCTGCGTTAAAAACCCGGTCGACGTTAATGGGTTCTAGAGCAAGAGTAAGTTTGTAGTTTCTTTTTCAGGTCCTGTAGCATGATAATGAATATCAACCGACAAGATCATGATCTATGTGCTTGCTAGATCATACATGTTCGACATTCTGAGGAAGGACCGACAGCGGCAGCAGCTTCGTTCTCTCCCCTGGAAGGTTACCGACGTGCACAACTTCAGACATCAAGCCTCAGCAACAAATGTCGTTGTATTCTCGTTTGTTGTTTTTGTACTGAACACGACCATGGAACCCAATTGCCTCAGTTCTGTCACGCAGTAGCTGACCACGTCGTCTTTTGAAACATTATCCTGCGATGAAAGTGAAAAGCATGAATTACAGAGCTGCGCAGCATAAAAGTTCTTCAATATCCACTCTCAGCCCATAAACCAAGGCTCCACGACGGGTCTGCCGTTTGCGTCCGTTTTTCTGTAGTCAATGAACTTCCGCTTGAAGGCAAGTTCCCGCAGCGCCGGGGTCAGAGCCGCGGCCACACCGAACCCATTTTTCTCCGCTTCGGGGTGGTCCTGCCAGAAGAGCAGTATCTCCTTCACGCCGAATGAGATGTTTTTCTTTGTACTTTGTTCCAGTATTTCCAGCAGCTTCCCGTAATTTTTCGTGTGCACCGTGATGTTTTCTCCGAACTGCGGAACTTTCTCCACCACGATCTTGTCAGGAGGTGACTGACGACGCACCGTCTGCTCGATAGTAGATCCAGTTGCTGGTGCAGCATCTTTCTCCAAGTTGTCAATGACACCATTTTTCCTGTGGGAGTGCATCTTCGACTTGCCTCGTTTGGACTCTGATTTGTTATGATTGTTTCTCCGGTTGTTCCGGAAGTCTTCGCGGAGCAGATCAGCACGATCCCGCAGTCGCCTGGACCGGGCACCATTCTGCTGTGCCACGAAGGGCGGTGGATCCGGTCCATTCAATGGACCAGCAGCTGCTGCAGTTGCTATTCCGGTTCCGGCATGCGAGGCGGCCGGTCGCGCTGCTCCTGTACTAGCTGAAAGTGGAACAAGAGAAGCTGCAGTTGCTGCATTATTACCCGGATGATCTGGATAGGCTACCGGCGCACCGGGATCAAAGTGATCACCAGCTTCATGATCATCAAGTACTTCCGCCGAATAGAACAATCGTTCATCCAGTACACGACGGTCGTAGTGAGCCGCTTTGTCGTTGTTCCTATCGTCAGCCGCGCCCACTTCCGACGTAAATGGATGCTCATTGATCGATCGGCCGACGTGCTGAGAGTTGTTGTACAGGGGACGACCGTACAAAGCAGGATCATCATCTTCATCAAAAGGAGGATCGACCAAACCTTGTTCTTCAGCACTTCTGGTGATATCCAACGCCATCAACCCGGCTTCTGCATGATCAGCTTCCACCAAAGTCGTCGTCGCTTCACGACGACCCAACGACAACGAAGCAGCGGAAGAGGCGGGTGCGGCGGCTGCCTTGACTGCTGTGCCCACACGGCTCGATCTCGAGGGACGTGCCGGCTGGTGATTCGTGTGCACAGCTGCTCCTGCAGAAGATGAACTCGACGTAGAAAGAACTCCATGACCTGCTGCTTCTCTACTGCGTGAGGTTCCGCCCGTCCAGGCTCCTCGTCCAGACGAAGAAATAGCTGCAGAAGGCCTACCTCCTGCAGGTTGCATTAGAAGGCGAGATGAGGAAGAAGAGGAAGACGAGGCACCAGAACTCTTTCCAGCACCTTTCCTCTGGGCAACGGGCAGCTGAAGACGTCGCGAGGAAGCTATCCCCTGCCGCGCTGCCTGTTCGGAGGAGGCGGCGTTACCCGACATCACCTCTGATGCAGCTCTTGCCTCGCCCGAAGAAGCAGTTGCACCGGATGGTCCAAGATCGCCATTGCGACGATCGCTTCGTTCCCTGATTATGGGAACCGGTCGGTGATTGAGCGCTCCGAGGATAGAACCGGTGATGCGGGCCAGCCTAGTCGTTTGCAACGTCCGGTCTTCATCGTTCGCATGATTCCTTACGGGTCGTCCTTGCTCCGGTCTATTTGCAGCTCCAGCTGAGTTAGCAGGCAATAATCGTCGATCTGTGTGCGTTTTTGCAATTTGTATCAACATCAAGTAAGTCGAATTCTCATTTTGAATCAGGCACTCAGTTTTATTGTGTGTTCTTCTTTACTGCAAGAGAAGGAGAACTCTTAGTCTTAAGATCACAGCATCGAGATATCACTACATGTTGATCATTGCGCTTGCGTTTCTCGTTCTCCGCATGTCTTTCTATAACAAAACTTTCGTGCCTGCGCCAACTTTTACTTTTATTCCTATTGCAAGTACAAAAGTAATTGAAAAGAGCTTCTTTTACCTCCTTCCTCCTGACGTTGCGCAAGTGCAGGGGGCTCAGGACCGTAGAAATCCAACGAGTCAAGAAACTCCAGTTCCTCGTCAGAAAGGAGGCGATCCGATTGTGCCGCCGGTGGTTCAGACGAGACACTCTCCGAAGAGGATATTGAATTTGCACGCCGAGCGCGACGCATAAGATCGCGCTCCACTTCGCGTCCCGGAAGTCTACTTTGCTCTTCTGGGTGATAGTTGTCGAGGACAGGATCGAAAGAAGCGCGGCGCTGTGCATGCGTGCCGCGGTCTGATTCAGCTGCCAGCATATAATTTTCGTCTGCATTGTGATTTCGTTGCGCATCCTGCGTATCATCGCCGGAGGCAGCGTCGTCGTGGTTGTCCCATGGTGGTCGTCGACGGTGCTCGAGAGCAGAAGTGCCGCTACCACGCGAGGGTGGATAGTTGTATCCCGACTGACTTGCCCCAATAGAAGTTGCACCTGAAGCAGGTCCTACTCGAGAGGATGAAGATGCTGAGCCATTTCCATTTCTTCTGTTTGCCACGACACCATCTACAACTTCCACCAAGCGAGGATCTACTTCATGCGACGAGCTGGCACTCGCAGCTCGGTGCAGGTTCTGGTTTGTTCCAACATCATCAAAGAACGACGAATCGGCTTCCCTGCGACTAGCTTCTCTCTGCTCTCGTGCGACCTCTGCGAGCTGAGCGTCGACCTCTTTCAGTGCGAGGGCAGCCGCCCGGGCTTTCCGCAATCTGCTGTCCTCGTGTCGGCCGCGTGACCGCGACGGCCCCCGCTCCCCATACGAGCGGCATCGGTCGATAATCCTACGTCGTCTCTCGCGTAGATCAGCAGCAACAGCTTCGAGCATAGCACGCACCGGGCGCCGCTCGGGGGCATTGCCAGTGGAAGTTGCGCCAACGTCGTTGTGCTCTCTTCGGTTTTCACGAAGATCTCCTCGACGTGCACGACCGTCATGCGCTCCCTGCCGCGGAGGAGGTTGTTCTGGATCTATTTGATGAGACAAAAGATTGTACGGTCCCTGTTCATAGGGATAGGCATAGTCGTCCTCCAGCGTCAAGTCGTCGTGTGCAGTGCCGGCTGCTGGTGGTACCATGCCTGGAACCTGGTTGTGGGGGGGCATCGTGTTGTGAAGATCATTGTCCCACGCGTTTATGTCCCGAAACGCCAGGTCTATTGCTTCATTCCGGTCGTCCAAAGTCGCCCGATCGTGTTCTTGTCGTGAATGGTTGTAGTTCCTTGTGGCCCATGAGGATTCATTTCCGTTGTACAACGTGGCTGCAAGTTGCTGGAACTGGCTGGAAGTTACTGCACCCGACGTCCAAGCCGGAGGAGCAACGCCCGGACGGTTATCGGGCGCTGCGTGCGAATAAGCTGGGACGCGGTGATCCCGCATGGACGATTTCAGGAACTGCTTCTGTGCGGTATGATCCTTGGCAAGCTGCACTAACAGTTCGTAGTCCAGGCCCTTGAAGCACAGCACCGCGGTGTGCAACTTCAGAACGTGATTAAATGTGCGGGGCACACCGCTGTTCTGCTTGTCGGTGTAGGTGATGGTCACAGTCGTGATCAACTTGTCCGGAGAACAGTATGGGATATTAGTGCTCGTGTCTGCCACTGCCTCGTCTGAAACATGGTTTTCCTCATCCGGGGGCTTCTTCATTGCGGTGGTGGCCGTTGTGTCGCCAGCAGCTTTGGCTGCCACGACATGGGTCAAGGAAGAAGATGACGAGGCTCCTGCCCCGGTAGCTTTAGCTGCGCGATTCTTTACTGATTGGTATCCGGGTACACCAGGTAGTACAAACCTGCTGGCTGAACCGGGAAGATTGTTTCCGCTAGTAGAAGCAGAAAAGCCAGTGGAGGTTTTGTCCGAAAAAAAGGAATCGTCTAGCGGCTTCTACCAAACGCAAAAATGTCTGGGTCTGGAAGATTGCGAGATTTGTCATGCTTATCTGGCATGACAAAAAAGTTTGTGATGCGTGTCCAAGAAGATACCCTTTTGCCTGTCATGCAAAAACGCAGTTTCTCATGCGGAAAACGCAACACAAAGAAGCGCAGATATTTCTCATGCTTGGCTGTGCATTACAGTGCATTCACTATTCCCAACACAGCATTACAAGTTTCCAGACCCAGACGTTTTTGCATCTGATAGCTTCGCGGATAGGACGATGTCTTTGATCTCGAAGCAGTCCTCCTTCCCGGGCCAAAATTTCATCCAGGGGCGCACTTCGCAGAACTCGTGCTTCGTGGGATCCAGACAGTAGGACTGAAACTTGTTGAGCACCGCGGGCTTCGGCGCGTTTTCGTTGAACCGGATGTCGTTTTTATTCAGTTTCAGATCTTGCGGGATGTCGAACGTGGTCACTTCGCACACCAGTTTCTGCAAACAGCTTCCCGGAAACGCGTCGACCTCTTGGATCGCCTCGCAGAGGTCGAGGGTGAGCAAAAACGTTCCGTGGCCGCGATCCGCCGCCACTCGGCGCGGGCCCGCGCCGCCGAACCGCTGCTCTGACTTCGTGAAGTCCGCGAGCCGCTGGCTTAGAAACTCGTTTGGCGGCGGTTGATGGAATTCCGCGAGTCTTTTATTATCGTCTTCTTCACCCAAGTCGGCTTGCTTGGCGTTCTTCTTACTGAAGTCGCTTGTTCTTTGCACTTTCGGTTTTTCAGTTTCAATTTCGAGTTCGACTTGGTCTTGGTGACTGCAGGGCGGTATAGATTTGATAGCTGTACAAACATCATCTACACCGGCCTGCTGCGAAAGATCAGTCCCTTTTACCTCTTTCACTTCTGCAGAAGACGTTCTTCCAGTACTTTCCTCCACGACCGTTCGCTTCGTTCTCTGCGAGTCGCTCTTTTGTTGCTCGTTTTCCTTCGCCCGCGCCAGTTCTTTCATCTCTTCGTCGTGGATAAACGGTGCCTTTTGCCCCGCGACCCGTTCTGCCTCCGCCAGCATTTCCTGTTTCTTTTTCTTGTTTTTCTCCATCTCGACCAGAAGTTTCTTGTTCTGGTAGAAATACTGATTCGCGCAGTCCAACTCCGTGTTCCTGGATGAAATCACCCGGAACGCGTATGCATTGCAAAAGTAATTGCAGTCATGCAGTACAAAGCTTTTATCTACTTTTTCTTAAGATGTAAATCCGAATTATGACGAATTCCATTTCTCATGGTGGTAAAGAAATTGAAATCTGCATATATGCAGTTACGACTAGTACTAGGACGATACTTTTGCAAAGGATAACGCGTGCCAAATGTTGATGCGCCCGTCCAGACCCCGATTCATACTGGCGGTGTCTCGCCGTTGGAAAAGCGACAAAGCATTATTTCTACTTGATGTTGCAAGCGGCGCGGAGGTGGTCAGGTTTTGGTTTATTTTTCCACTGTCATTGATACTGTTTGACGTTGCGCTTGCGGCATAATTAGTGTTCACAATATGATCAGGCTGGTCGTCCACACGAATATTGAAGCCAAACCTGGTCTTTGTTCCGTATGACAGTGCACAACTCCCACTCCCCCTCATTTGTCATGCTTAACAGACTGCGCAGCTAAAGCCCGGGGGGGTGCGGGGTCCGAGGGGTGCACTTCTAAGCACTGCCCGGAACACCCGAACATGCCCCGCGACCGGCACAGGACCAGCAACACAACTAGTAATCGTCGATCACAGTTTGTCGATCACGACGTAGCTGCGAAGCCGTCCATACGCCTGGCGCCCCAAGCCCAAACCCCCGAGGAAAGGCCTCGACCACAGAAGGACCAAATATGAGCTTACGGCACGATGAAGTGGGAGCGCCTGTCTATGGACCGGATGAGGGAGCCCCCGGCTGCGAAACTGCTGGCTGGTGGACGCTAACCTGCCGTAGGTGATAGACTCACTCCAAGAACGGTTTCCGTTTCAGCGGTCGCGAAGCCGAAGGGAACAGGATGCATGTAGAAGAGCACTGGGGACAGGAAAGGACGAAGCACGAGTGTGATGGGCATTGCTGGAGAAAAACACCCGGATGAGATCCCGACTGCGGGAAGTCGGAGCATGAGGAGCAGCAGCGGGAGATTATCGAAACCGGACAAGACAGCTGGGCAGGACTGCTTCTCGCAGGACGACAGAGACGGCGATCGGGAATCCGGATTAACGGAAAAGCTGATGGCTATACAGAGAAGTACCGCCGCCAGAGGAGAAGTCTTCGAGACTATCGCAGCACTGGCACTCGCACCGAAAACCGAACGCGCTACAGGCGCGCCGCGCTCGTGCGTGATCACAACAGGGATCACTTGGCGGACAGACTCTACAGGAGTCTGCCTTGGTTTCCGGGAGTGACGCCGATATCGGGACGCCGGTGGGAGAGGTGGGGCCCACTGGTTGTCGCTAGCCGCTGCCGTCCCGGAAACCAGACACAACTGCAGGTGTGCCGCACTCGTGAGTGATCTCTACAGGGATCACTTGGCGCGTAGGCTCTACAGGAGCCTACCCTGGTTTCCGGGGGTGCTGGTTTTCTGGTTGGGAAGACCGTCCGTGCCTGGTCCCTGGATGCGTCGGCTCGACGGGCTCGTTTGCTGGCTGCCAGGAGGAGATCCAACGCTTCTACCTGAAAGGGTTATTTTTCGGGAAAGGCGGGCGGGGACGGAGTTATCCGCCCCCTAAGAACAACAGCGAGACCCTCATTTGTCATGCAAAATACCCAATCCCCTGTTTTGCTTTTGCCTCTTGGCACTGATTGCATGACAAGTTCTGGCAGCCCAAATAGCACTACACTCCAGCGCAAATTTCTCATGCAAAACCGGCATTCTTGCTGATGCTTGTATTGCCGTTCATGCTATTGCCGTGGATGAGGGGGAGGGGGAGTTGTGCACTGTCATATTCCGTACTCACCCGCGAGAAACTGGTATATGACCCGCAGCAAATCCTCGGGAAAGTGCATGGTAATGTACACGGACTTCGCGCTTGTGCCGGATTTGTTTGCCAAAAACTCGTCTTGGGCTTTCGTCGACAGCTTTTGAAATTCTCCCAACTCAAATTGCTTCCTCTTCTCAAAACACACACCCAGTGCGTTCACCGCCATGATATTCACCATCGCCGTGGCCTTCCACTGCATTTGGTTCAGCTTTTCTTCCTTAATCTTCGTCCTTTTCTTCTCGTAATCCAGCTCATTTTCCTTCATGGCCGCCTGGACTTGCGTTTGGTCCTCCTTGTTTGCTGGAGTAGAGGACGAAAGTAGCGCCCTTTGAAACTCGAGCAGTCCCTGCTTCTTCGTTTCAAAATCATTCTTCGCCTGGAAGTAGGCATTGGAGCAGCGGCGGCTGGCTTTCTTTTGCAGCAGGAGAACGGTCTTGCTGTAGGTTTGCGGGAAATTGTTGCGACGTTCTTGGTGTGGAATACCACTGTCGCTGTCATCAGAGGTGTCCTCCTCGGGCAAAAGAGGTATTATGGGAGCCACGACGTCTTGGGAAGGTTTCGTCTGAGAGGCTGCAGTGCTGGCGGCGGCTGCAGAAATGACTGGTGGGGTTCCCTGATCGTGTTGCATCTTGTTCGTGTTTACGAGCAGCCAAAATGATTTGAAAATTGAAGCTGAAGTTTTTCCTGTTACTACTGAGACATGGACATTCACGAGATTGGATTCCGTATCATAGAGGAAGTGGCGATCATAGGAAGTGAGGTCCTGTTTGGGAGTCCATCGAAGGTAGGAGTCTTTGAAAACGTTCTAGAAGTTGTGCAACTCTGTGATGCTTTGCATCAGAAATGCGGCTTTACCGAAACTCAAGGCTTTTCTATGTTCAATATGCTGGCGGACTTTTTAGTTGTGCCACGACTTGCTCTTTGTTATCTTCAGGGCTGACAATCTGTTCTGGGTCTCATATACTGGCGCAAGGATCATTCAGAATCCGCTGCGTCAACCACAGAAATTGCTTTTTCTTTCGATGCTAGAGAACACATAAAGATCTTTCCAAAAGAGCGGAGAAAGAACTGCCGCTGGCTTTACATATTGACTAGCATAATTCATCTCAGTTTCACAGCTTTCAGCATGTCGCTCGGTCGCTTTCTTGAAAATGACATCCAGTTGACTACAGGAGCAGGACTACAGAAGAAGCGGAGATTATCAATGGGTCGCTGCTGCCAGCTGTACATCGAAATCGTCATGGAATAGAACGGAACCGATATTCTTTTCTGAATTCAGCATTGCTTCCAGCGCTGCATCCTCCAACTCCCCCTCAGAGTCGGCTTCTTCGTACATCGCAGCAGCTCGTGTCGCAATATCCGCTCCTGCAATTATGCCAAGGTTCTTGGTATCTGTCGAGACTTTCTTCCGAATTCGGATTAATCTTTTCTTTTTGCCTTTCTTCTTGGTCTTCTTCTTGACGCCAGCAGCTTCGGTAATAGGTTCGCTCGCGCGAGTATTCTTGCTTTCTTCAACCGTTGTATTTGACTTGTTCGTCATTTTCCTTCCATTCGACGAACGACTTGGCAGCTCCATCGCGGTGTCCCCTTCTTGTACCTGGGAGTGGTCCGCAGGCCGCTCGCTCTGAGGAATTTCTATCATCCCTTTGCCCTTCATCTTCCCCTCCTGTTTCTCCAAACTGACCGCCACGAACTTGGTCGCAATTTCCTTACGATAGTGCTCGTGGAAGTGGGTTTCGTGTTGCTGGAAAACTTTGTAGAATTTGCTTAGGTGTTTCCGTTGCAATTTTCTGCCCGCGAGAGTTTTCCACCCCTTGGGATCGCCGAGAGACAGCATGGAATAGTTGATCACCTGTGCGCTACACAAGGCAAGCCGGAGGTTCAGCGGAACCGCGGGGATATTGGTTTTTATTCCGGAAGCACATGTAGTTTTCTCTTCCTTTCCTGCGGCACTGTCACGACCTCCGTCTTGGGCCTGTAGAAGCAAATTTGGCGGCTCGAAGCTAGTGTTGTCGTTGTTCGTGAACGCAAAGCTCAGCGCCACCCGGGCGTCCGGGATTTTTCGTCGATTGCTTTCTCTTTCGTCGCTCCCTGGATTTTTTGCAGCATCCACACCCATTTCTGTAATATTATCGCCTGCCTGACTCTCGTCCTCGCCCTGGTTCCCCCAGTGGATGACTCGGTGCGTGTGACAGCAGAAGCCCCCAGCGTTCACACTGGCACAAAAAATCTTCTGGTAGTTGCCCTTCGTGGTCGTTGTTCCGTCTGTGCAAGAACTGCCGAATATCCTCCCCATGGGATCGCCGTCGAGGCTATCTCCCGCGTAATATCCCGGGTCCACCGTCGCGCTCACGTAGTGCAAACAACTCCGCGCGGGCGTCGCGTCCGTCAAGGCTACCCAGCAGGTTAAATACCTGGCGATATTCGCTCTTTCGGAGCGATGAGGATCATGATCATGATCTCCGTCGTTATTATTATTTTCAGCGGATGAAGCAGAAGAAAACGTCGTTCTTGGGTCTTCGGGCAGATGCCCCTTCGGCTGCCAGTCCTCCGGCTGGCGGTCGCGGTGTGGCGAAAACCCGGTCCCGTCAACCACATGAAAGCCGACAATGTCGAAACAGAACTTGTTCTGGTTACACGACACCTCGTCCATCCAGGACTGGCATTGTTTCGCGAGTTCCCACGCTTCGTCATACACCGCGAGAAAGGTCGCGGGCCAACCGTGGTCGTGCAGAATTTGGGCCGCCTCGGCGAGAGGCCGGATAAGGGGCCGCGATTTTTGGGCAGATGATAGTCGTGGTTCTTCAGCCCGGTTCTTCTTCTTGCAGCCTTCCTCGGGCAATGATTTTCTATCGTCTACAGAAGTTATTTGGAAGTCGTCCTTGGGTATGACTGCATAGCCGTGCGTTTGCAGGCTCTTTCGGTATTTCGCAGCATTTCGCCATGATCTTATGGAGGCGTCCTGTCGGGATGTGGTTCTCGTTCTTGAGGTGGTGGGGCCGCGTGAATGAGCTTTCTTGGTCGCAGACGAGCTTCTGTGTTGACGGCGATCCGTTCCTTCACCTTCGCCTTCGCCACCCACGGTCAGGAATGGCACCAACGACCGCCAATAGGCCGCGTCCTGCATTTCCTTCGCTGTAATTTCTGTAGCAGACTTCATTATGTGGCTCATCGTCATCTGCGAAGAAACCAGCGCAAACGATAGTGCGCACTTCCTCAAAGCGAAAGTTTCACGAAAAAATTGACTAATTGAAAACAACTACGAAACAAATCATCTTGCTTTCTTGCTTGACAATATCATGTCGTGTGCTGTCGCCGGCCGGTTTCTACTCCACACAATTCCTGCAGATCTTTTTTCGTGAGTCATCTGATGTATTTTGAGTTTCTCATGTCAGTCATACCTATCGACAGTGTCATTGAAGACCCTACGCATAAGGCAATTTTTGTGATCCAAGCCTGTACTTTTGGATCATTTTTTGTAGGTTTGCAGATGATGTGTTGATCGCTAAGAAAGCAGCTTCATCAACATGTCGATCGAAAGTTATTCTGATCTCGTATCAGGCACTGTCCGAAGAACTTGACTCGTAGTGGTTGCTTCGGCATTTATTTTTCCTCCTGAATCAGCATCGAGACCGAAAACAGGCGAATCAACAGCGTCAAGTGTGGAAGAACAACGTGGCGGCTTCGAATTGCGGCAGCGAAAAAGCCACCTGTGTTCGAACGGAAAAGTCACTTGCTCCGCGTTCGCGTGTCGACAAACATGGCATTCCATGAATAGAAAACACATTCACATTTCTCCTTCGACGAACATTATACAACGGTCCAGTTCATCCTGTTGAATCCTACACTGTATGAAATTTCACAAATCATGAAGCAAATTGCTATCACAGGCAGCGCGCCGCCTTGACCTTGTCTAGTATATCATTATCTTTCTCTAATTTCAGTTTCCACAACCACTTCATCATTGTTCAAATCTCTACAAAAATCAAAATTGCATTGTACACGACGCCACTTCGACTTTTTGGGATAGATATTCTTCTTGTACACACAAGCTTTACTGCGTACAAAATATCTCGCGTGCCACAGCTGATCCACCAGCGATACTATCTTGCTCCATGTATCCTACACATCAGAGACGCCATTTTGAACATGAGAACCACCACATCCTTGCATTCCTCCGTCTCTTCATGCTTGCAGCTAAAAGAAACCAGAAGCGAGCTTCGTCGGAGTTCCAGCAACAACCACTGCTTCCTCACTACAGCTATCACGACTCAAACTAACTGCCTGCGCCTCACCCGTTCGCACACAATTTGCGCATGCTCGGACGGTTAAGTTAGAGCTAGAGGGCCGTCTCACTCTACTACTTATTTCTTTTCCATTTGTCGGAGGCGTTGGAAAAAAATGATGGTCGATTAATCGTTCCGCATAATATGCGGATGCAACAGGTGCCATGATCTGTGGAGCCGTACGTCCGGGCGGCAAAAGAAAAGTGGACCGCGGGACGCTGGGATGAAGACCATCTGCTTAGTGCAATTCTACGTCTTGACCCCTCTTGTACTTCGTGCTCATGAGCTCGGTCCCCTCCTCCACCTCGTGGTCCCTTTTTTTCGCTGACGAAGAGGGGAACCAACCCGACCACCGCGACGGCTTGACTGGTTCTGTCTGGTGGGTGTAGACGGCCATGCCTTTCTTCAGCTCCGCCCGCAGAGTCTGCAACTCCTTCGCATGTCTTTTGTCCATCTCGGACACCGCTTCCCCATTTAGCGCGTAGGACTTGGACAGCGCTTCCTGCATCACTTGCCTGTACTTCTTGAAGCCAAGGTCGTTTACCATCTCTTTGGTCCACACCTGTTCCAAAAACCAATCCTTCTCATCTCCATCCGCACCCCGGTTCCTCGCCGCCATTCTCTGGTACTTTTCCGCCCAGTCGGCTAAACCGAGGTATCCGAAGTTGTCCCGCATGGCCGCCGCCGTGCGCAACTTCAATTCGTTCTTCCAGCTGCTGCCCAGGTTCTGCTCCGACAAGGCGGCGAAGTCCTCCACGAAAAGCTGCAGACTGGAGACTTTCCGGTACTCGGACATCGCCAAAAAGGCCGACAATGCGCGTCGGGAACTGAAGCGCGTGCCGAGCGAGCCGTAGTACAGCGCCACCAGACGGTGCAGCGAGGTCATCGCGAAGGCTTCCCGGAGGGCGTGCCCGTTCTTTGCGGTGCCCGTGCTCTCCCAGCAGACGGTCGAAGCGCAGTCTTCGGAAGCAGGTGCAGAACCGGTTGAGGAGACCTCCTGGACCTTGTTCTCCTCGCGGGTCACGATGTCACACAGAAACCCCTTTTGCTCCGGCGACAAGGCACCGGAAAGCTGCATTGCTTTGTCGCCGTTTTTCTTGGCTGTTTTCATCGGCTCGTAGAACCGTTGGAACTTAGTATCGATGTCGACGCCTCGATCGATGGTCGGAAGCGAAACGCGGACCCGAAACTTTGAGGCCGTGCTGAGGCGCGGAATGGATTTGAACTTGGGTTTTTCCGTTTCCTGCACGGACCCCTCAATACGGAAAGTAAACTTCGTCCCGGCATCCTTGTTTTCTTCGTACACCAGTACGACAGGCTTGTTCAGATGAATCTCTTTCTTCGTTCTTGCGTTGAAAAGATACGGATTTGGCACGTCAATCTGCTCTTTGTAGTGCATCAACTTCCACTGCCAATTTTTGTTCGGCACCTTCACACCTGTTTGCCGGCCGAAGGCAGCATCTTCGCAAAACGCCTTCACGTCGAAGTCAATCCCAGCCTTCTTCTCGTTCGTCAAGGACTGTAACTCGACGGCGTTCTGCTCGGCCCAGGCTTGCAGCGGCCCAAACGCGACCAGCAAAAACGCTGGAATGTGTGCACTGTGAAATAGCATGGCAGTGAACATGTTCTTGAGTAAATTCGTTTTGTGGATCACGCTCAGTTCTCGTATACAACCTTCGTAAAAGTAATTCTACTTCTAGTCGTGATATTGCGACGGCTGCTACTGCTAGTTAGTAAGTTTGTTCGAATCAATGGTAACGTGGTTTTCCGGGTGAAGGTCTCTAGTCGTTTTTTATTTTTAGTGAGCTATTATGGGTTTAGAGTTCATATTTATACGTATGATGAATATTTTACAAGTTTCTTCAGACACACAAATCTCGAAAATACGACTGAAATAGTTACTGTTCTGATTTTCGAAGCGGTTCTTAGGCTCAGTCCACCAAAATATTTCCAGTTCCAATCCAATGCATCCATCACCATCGTTCATTTTTGTTTGTGTTGCATGACAATTACGATCATGATCCATTCCTTGGGATATCTTATCCGGAGATCTGCCGATCACTGTGAGCTGGCCAACACATAACATCTCTGCAATCGCTCTACTCACGATCCAGCTGCATGCCTGCGTAAGTAGTTGACGATCGAAAAGATATGAACTTGTTCTTCTGATCTCTGAGTGACATTCTATTTTTACGATCGACAAGTGTTCTTTTGACATTCCATTTTGACTCTTTCTCTTGTTCATTTGACACCCTCGATGTCTGCCTCGTGTAGGATCTTCTTCTTCATCTTCATCTTCCATTTTTACAAGACTGGACTAGTTGCAGTGTATCTTCTTGGTCTTTCCAGTCAGCCGCACGGTCTTAGACCAATGTGGTCACTACACAGAGAAATCTCCATGCTACCAAAGCGAACGGCGCATGGATCTTGATCTTCGACTCCATTCTAGAACAACGATCAACAACTCCAGGAAGCTAGTACTTGCTCACTGCCTCTGCTGTCCTGCGCCGCAAAGGCATCAAGGAAGTCGTAGGTAAAACTTTGAGATGAGCGACATACTGTCCAAAAAGAGGGATCTAGAAAGTGGAGGAAACGAGTACGAGTTGCAGTCAATCACAATTTTGCGAGGTGGATCTTCTTCATTCCGGTAATCAATAAACCGGCCGTCAAAATAAATGTCTAGCTTTGAAGACAACAGGGGAGGACAAATCGGATTTTGAATCCGCTCTGTCTCGTCCCATGATGGAGTAGACAAAAAAGTCGAAAAAGCCATTTGTTGCCGCCTGGTCCCCACTACTCCTGACGTAGAGCCACGACGTCGTGCCAGGCGGCGGGCACCTGTACATCGCGCCCCGCTGGTTCTTCAAAAGAAAGCTCGATAATTTTTTTTCATCAAAATCGAAACTGTAATTCGGAAATCTTTTACTGTCAACAATCTTGATGCTTTCCTTTTTCCCCTCCGATGTTAAGTCATCATCTATAGAAGTCTTCAATAAAAATCGACAAACAAGTCTGATTAGTTCAAGTTCTCCTAGAGAAATATTAGATCTTGTAGTAAAAATTTTGTTGAAACTTACAGTTTTAACCGGTAAAGCATTATCAGCATTTTGATTGTGGTAATACATCAATTGAAAATTTTTATTGACCAAGAAACAATCTCAAACTATTCATCGGCTGTGCACAATCTGCGAAAAAAAAATAATTAGTAAACAATGCCTAAAGTGCGGCTCAGTATCAGTAGTTGTAGTTCTAGTTCTTCTTCCCATAAAACAAATACAACGTCGTAAACAAGTCATAGTTTTTTGTTTATTCAAATTCAATCTGTGTCCTTGGAAACGAAGATACAGTGGCGGCAAGTCTTCAAAGGGTCAATCATTGCGCGTTGCAATAAACAAAACTTTTTTAGAAGCTATCCATCTCTAGAAATACTTTTTCCCGTAAAATACAAACAAGAGCTCGAAACAAGGATGACAAAAGATCAAATTTGAATTTATTCACAAGATGGCCGGGTAACAGAGTTACAGGGTGAAGTAGGTTGGGCGGTGGTGGAAAGGCGACAAAATTACAAATACATGAAGTGATTTTTTCCCATAATCATCGAAACACACTGACGGTGCAAAGCAAACTTCCTTGTCGGGACAATCAGCACCAGCAGGAGCAAATACGATTCGCATAAGCAACGATAGTTGTCACGAACCACATCGAACTTTGCTATCGCAATTTTGACATACGAGCTACATCTTTAGATTTGTATAGCAGTCCAAGTGTAAAATCGTTTCATAATCGTAAACTTCTTCGACTCATGGCTTTGGGACTACGCCATCGATGCTCTTGCTTTGTTGAGTCCGATGCATGTTCCCACAACCACCTACGCCTTGCATGGGAAAACGGGTACGAGTAGTCGTCTAGCAATTCTTTCACGAGAAATCGCTTCTTTGAAGTTCTTTAGAATTTGCTGGGTGGAAACAAGCGCACTCCTCTCTTTGTGTGCAAAGTAAAGCTTGTGGCTCCTTCTTCCCTGCAGCAAGCGGCTGCTCAGGGCCGGGGCCGCATTCATCTTTTACTATTTCACTATTACTATATTCCTAGCATTACAACAGCTGGTAGCATTCCTATCGTCTGCCTAATGCGCATTCGGTCCTGAGCTTCTACAAAACAACATACCTGCAGCTACTTTTACATAAGTTGCAAATAGGGAACTTTGTCGTTAAATTTGTTTTTCTTGTCACCAACAGCGAGCACCATGGGAGTAACTACACCGTTACAGTCACAGACTTCAATATCATGCCAGTACAACTGACCAAGATCAAAAGTACTATCTTGTAAAGTTCTAGCTCTGCACGTCCTCGACAAGAACGTGCTTTGTTCCCTTCTGTTTCAGTTGTACTGCTGATACGGGTTGTAGACCCCGCCGACACCGCCGCCCGCAGCAGCAGTCGACGGAGTGTTCCCGTTGCCCCACGCGTTGGCATTTCCCTGTTGGTGTTGCCCGCGCCAGTTGTTGCCCCCACCCACATATCAACTGTAAAAATGTCTGGGTCGGGAAGAATCCAACTTGTGTGTCATGCTGATTTTGGATTCTAAAAAAATCTGTATTGCATGAGCAGCAAAGAGAGTCCAAAATTTGCTACACGGAAAGAGCATTTGTCATGCGGTATAGGCATCAGGAAGCCCTCACAAAATCTGTGATGCTAGGGCATGCATCACAGACATCAGGAGTCATGCAAAATGTGCATTACAAATCTCGCAATCTCCCAGACCCAGACATTTTTACATTTGATACCACATGCATGGGCTTCGTGCCGTACTTGGCCGCATAGACGGAAGAGTCGTAATCACTGAAGCCCGGCGCCGCGCCCGGAGCACGGGAGAAATTGTTATTGGAGGAAGTAGTGTTCGGCGCTCCTGCAGACGGGTTGATATTATCCCCACCGTGGTTGTACAAAGAAGTCGTAATGTTCATGTTGCTCACCTGCTGCAGATTGTTTCCAGGAGTCGTGCCTGTGGAAGTACCGCGCCAGTTAGAGCCACTGTTGTTCTGCTGCTGACTCGTCAGAGCGGCCGAGTTCGCGGCGGCCCCGGCCGCGTTCAGTGCTGCAGCAGTAGTACCGGTTTGATTGCTCATGGTACTCGTGTTGTTGTTCATCGTCCCATCATTCTTGTTCATCATCCCGCCCGAATTATTGTTTTTGTAGTGGTTGTGGTTTTTCATGTTCATCATCGACGAGGTATTGTAATAATTGTAGTTGGACTGAGAACTACCGTGCTTGTTGTTCCCATAGTTGAAGTTGTTGTAGGTGTTGTTCATTCCACCCTGATTCGCTCCCATCGTGGTCGTTCCGTATGCGCCGTATTGATGTTGGCCCATCTTATTCATCCCGTACGAGGACCCGTGATGACCCCCGGCGGCACCGTACGCGGCCCCATGGTGACCACCACCAAGGCCCGCGGCCAAACCGCCCATTCCGTAGCCGCTCGCGTTCGACATGCCGTGGGTGTAAGCGCCGTGCCCGCCGTACCCAGCGTTAGCCCCGTTGTAGTCCTGGTTGCGCCGCTCGCACTTCCAGCACGGATCCTTATCGTAGCCCGTGGCGTGCAAATCCAGCTTCACCTGCTTGTCCTCCTGAACGAGAGACAAATTCTTCTCGGTCTTAAGTATGAAAGGAGAGAAGTGGAAGTACTTAATGTGTCTAGTCACTTTTATGTCTGCTTCAAAATGTTGCTGCTCTTCTTGCTGCATCTACTTCTACCGTGCTAAAAACCGCGATCCTGCATCATGCTTGCTACATGTGAAGCATCAACATCAGCACACTGTAATAAGTAGATCAAATTCAAAAAAAAACGACTTTGTCTCATTGCTGCACACGACCAGCAAGACAGACAGCACGAGGACAAACTCTCGATATTCTATTCTCCCTTCCTTTTCATACTCAATCCGCTCGTCGGGTGCAGGCCATTGGGCGACAACTGCCAGCAATCCTGGACTACTTTGCCTGATAAAGTATTTGAGAGTTTCACACCTTTTTTCAAAGTGAGTGTATCCGTATGATCATACATGTAATGCGAAATAAACAGGAGAACATACTCACGCGGCTCTGTGATCATGCTGTTGCTGTAGCTGTAGTAACACTAACAGTATGGTCCACCCTGATAATAAAAAATCAACTATGGTCATCTTTCTCAGTACTGAAGTTTTCCACGTCGTGCATGCCGAAGTACTGCGGGAACCCGTGCTTGGCGTGCAGCCCGTTCAATTCCAACAGCTTCAAGTGCCCCAGGCACCCGCGCAGGCCCTCGCACTCCAGGTTGTGCAGCTCGTTGAAGATCCTGGTCACGTTGCACCACTGGTGGAAAAGCTCCGGGATGGTTTTCTCGATGTCGGTGACGGGGCCGAAAGCGGATCCGGTGGCTATGGCATTCTCAAACGTTACATTCTCAACTGTTACCTGATTTGTGATGCAAAGTTACCGTAAGCCACCACAGGATCAAGCTGCTTCGCATGACAAATTCCCGAAGCAGGGCTATACAGCATCTAAATCTGTGCGGAATTCGTAATGCTATAGGTGCAACCCTCTCCCTTTGGCTTTTGCTATTTTTGCATCGCAAATTCATGGAACAGTTGAGAGTGTAACAATTGAGAACGACATAGTGGTCGTTCCGATGTTCGAGTTAACGGACGACGCTTGGTCCCCGTTATTGGACCCCTCGTCCGACCCAGCGCTGCTGTTGGACCCCTGGTCCGACGTGGCGATCGCGCGGTTGATCAGGTTGGGCAGCAGGGTGCGCAGGTCGTAGTTGCCGGACGTGCACACCAGCAGCGGGTGCTCCACCTCGTCGCCGGCCTCTTCTTCCACCATCGCGGCGGTCTCCGATTTCAGCAAAAGCTCCTTATCGTCATCCTGACCCTTGTCCGAGCGCGGCGGGGTGGAACCAGTATCGAGGAGGACCTCAAGTTTGATGATGTTGGTTTATTGTTCCAGGCGAAATAAATCCAATTCACCTTTCATCCTGATGTTCATGTTGCACTACAGATTACATTTCTGCTCTCTCTGCAGTAAATCTTCCATCACAAAGCCACATCCAGATGTGATGACATGATTGTTTTTCTCGTTCCAATCTGAATTAATACCTTGTCCTCGCCGGTGACCACGGGAATCTTCTGGGCCTTGCCATACAGACGAAAGCCAAAGCCTTTCAACCACGCGTCAAGCTCCACCAACATCTTCATCAGGGGAACCGTATGCATTTTTGCAAAACCCGTATCGCACTAGTGTGAAGTGCATGCCAAATCTTTCCACAAGCAAAAATGGTTCAGCTCATCATGATGGAGATTCAGGCACTATCTAAGTAAGCGCATCTGTCATGCTGCAAGACAAGTACAACTGCACAAAACTGTAAGTACTCAGAGTCATGCTATGATGATGTTTTTGCACAGGATAAACCGCCTGCGGCACCGAAGCGCGATTTTTGGAACGGGGATTCAAGATCCAACGGTGGAAACGACCCAGTTCCTTGCCGCATCGATTAATCAGGATACCTTTAATGATAATTCGGTATGGTGGAAACAAATGAATGCGAAGGTGGTACTAGCTTCCAGGTATTTTTCTTCTCGTGCTTTTTCCAGTGAAGCGGAACTTACAACAAGCAGAGAAAAAAGACTATACAGGGAAATTCCGTAATTCCATGCTTCGGAGAACCGTGCAAATCCAGAATCATCAACGCGTACTTGGAAGGCTTCCCGACCCGAGACATGAACTGCGTCTTCTGGCTCGCGAACCTGATTTCCATTTATCGAGTATCAAAATCAATGCAGCAATACAGGCTAATCCTAACCAATAAAGAATAAACAAGTTGTAAGTAAGCTACGTATAAAGTGACGGAAGGCACAACATATCATGCCAGTCCTCCTCGAGAGCATGCAATCTTGCAAACTCCTAAAGCCCCCTAAGCAACATGGCAACATCCAATAAATCATCTTCTTGCAACAGAAGATTATCATACCGCACGCCCAACTGGTCTTGCACCTGGCGTTTCAAATTCATGTCGTCCGGTTTCAGCCACTGGGCCCGCACCCACTCCGCGTGCTCCACGTCGTGACTCAGAGTGCACCACCGGTACGCACAGCAGCCGGAGTTAAAGTAGGGACAGGGGGTCATCTTCGCGGGCCCGTTCGATTCCTTGAACTCCTTGTCCTTGGAAATCATATGGATTGTAAAAATGTCTGGGTCTGGAAACTTGTGATGCTGGGTGGCGTATCACGAGGAGGCCACAAGTGCTGGCTCAGCATGACAAGCTTCTGAGCTTCTAGGTGTTGCCTACTCTGCATGACAAACAGCGTTTCTGCATGACAGAAAATTGGGGCTCTTGGGTAATGTGCATGACAAATTTACGAGTCATGTGAGACAAGCATGACAAACTTGCATTCTTCCAGACCCAGACATTTTTACAGTTGATAAATCAGGACCTTGTACGAGGTGTGAAACGGGTGTTGCTGGTGGTGGTTGCCGTGGTGCATGCCACCCGCGGCGCCACCCCTATCCTGTGCAAAAGTATCGTAGTCGTACTAATTGCAAACATGCATGACAAATCTCCTTCCTAAAGTAAAACAGCATTACAAATTCCACTTTTCTTCTTGCCAAAATTTGTGATGCAATTTATACTAGTCCGATATTTTTGCAATGCATAACCCCCAGCGGAAAACAACGAGTATTTCGACGCCACGTCTCCCGCCCCGGCAGCCCCCGCGAGCGCGTGGTGCAGCAACTGCTGCTGCGCCGCGTGCAGCTGCAGGTGCTTCAGCTGCGCGGCGGCCAGGTGCTGCTGGTTCAGCTGCTGCGCAAAGTTGTTCATGGTAGTTTGGTGGTGCGCCGCCTGCTGTAATTGTTGTCCCCCGGTGGCCGTACCCGTGAGGTTACTGGCCGGACCACCTCCGGTCGTGGTCGTAGCAGCCGGACCATTTGTCGCACCACGGGCGTGATTTCCACCGGAATTCGCGACGGCAGACGCGGGGCACCGCTTCATCTTCAGCGGGGAGATCGTCAGATACTCGTCGTCATCTTCAGGCTTGATGGTGCTTCCAGTGGAAGTCACGTTGTTCAACAGCTCATCGTTGGAAGAGATTTTGTCGAAGATGCTCTGCGCGGAAGTCTTGTCTTCCACCAGCACGCCGCAATCCACCACGACATTCGGCGCACCGCTTTGCGGCTATGCGTTGCAAAATAATCGAGTTCTAGAATACTTTGAAACTACTGCAAGCCTAGAATACAAATGTTTTCTGCTCATATCAAAAAGTGCAATGTGACATGCTAGATCAGCTAGAGCATTTAGATTCGTAAACATGCACGATGATAATTGCAAGAAGACTCAGTACAATTACGTCGATACTTTTGCGCATGATAGCATCTGCGAGGAGGAAATTTCCGGCGAGTAGCTGACCGTCGGCGAGTCCGCAGTATCAAATGCAAATATGTCTTAGTCTGGAATAAAGCTCTAATGGTAGCCTGCGACTGATGCGCGCACTGCAGTACGCAGCCAAGCATGCCAAGTTTTCTTTGCGCTGGTATGCGTTGCGTATTTTGCATGGCAGACTTCATGTTTGATCCATGACAGTTATTGATCCAAGTAGATCATGACCAGCATGACAGATCTTGCGATCTTCCCGACTTGGACCTATTTGCACCGGTGGATACGCACCCTCGATCTGCAACTGGTCTTCCTGGTAGGAGCTAGTGGTCACGGAATTCGAAGCATTGGTTTTCGCGGAGGTCGACGCCTTGGAGTAGTTTTTGGTCGGAACTGTAGCACCTCCCGCGGTACCAGCATTGCCAGTGGCCGCGCCGTGTTGGGGCAACAGTGGCACCGGCGGCTCGTATCCGCTGCTGATCAGGGGGTTCGCCGGCGTCGCCGGCGGGTACACGGTGGAATCGTAGCCCGTCACGGAGTGTTGGTCGTAGGGAGAACCACTCGCACAACTGCCCGGGTAGGCTTGCTGCAAAAATTGCTGCAGTTGCTGGGGGTCCTGCTGCAGTAAGTGCTCCATGCCGCCGGTGGACGCCGTACGGGTCGGGTCCGAGGGGTCCACAACTCCCTGCATCATGTTCGCCAGAAAATTGTCCTGAGCAAGGTTGCCTTGTGGTCCACCCGACAAACCCGCCGCGTTCGGAAATCCAGCGGCCATCATGCTGCTCTGCGCGGCCGCGGCGGCAGCCGCAGCGTCCAGCGAAGCGTTGCCCGTCGACGCACCAAAACCGGTTGCAGCCGCCGCGGCCCCGGCTCCCGCCGCCGCACCGCCGGCCAGCAGGGCCGGGTTCATCATCCGCAACTGGTTCAACCGCATCAACTGCAGCTGCAAATACGGCGGTAACTGCTGCTGCGCGCCGTCGGCAGCCGAAGAACGGGCCTGCAACAATTGCATCATGGTCAGGTACTGCTGTTGTGCCTGCAGGTTCATCAAATACGCGTGCTGCTGCAGCTGCACCGCGGACAGCTGCTGCTGCGAGGTCGGGTCCTGAAACTGCTGCAGCTGCTGCAATAACTGGGCCGGATCGGCCTGCCCAGGGTTCGACACACCGGTAGAAGCCGGAAGGACACCCGCTCCGCCAGCTTGCAAGGTGTACAGCGCGGACGGGTCAGTTGTTCCGGCCGTCGCCGCGGCCATCAATTCGTCCAGCTGCGTCGCGGTCATTGCGCCCGCGGCCGCAAGGTGCTGCTGAGCACCCGCGGCGGTCGTGGTCTCCTGCTGCACGGCGGTCGCGCACTGCGAGTTGGTAATGTCCAAGCCTGGAGGGGCTGAGATTTTCTTGCTCATCCTCGTTGCAGTCATCCTACTTCTAGGTTTCCATCAAAGAGACTGCTCCACTTGCAAAACACAAACAAGTTTTACTTGCGTTGGAATTTAGAAGTGCTCGTCGTGTTTCATCAACGAAAATCTACCGAATTTCGCCACTAATTGTCAATCAGATTTGCAATTGATGGCTTTCATCAAATTGCAGAGGAGTATCACGTGTCTACTTACCATGTCGGGAGCATCATTGCAGCTTATTTTGGCGCAAAACTATTTTTCAAAAAGTGCACTCCTTTGGCCGTTTGCGTTTGAATCACTCTCATCAAAAGAATTGTCGCGACTTTAAAACCTTGCCCTTTTAGGCGTTGAGATGCCTCAACTTCTCTCGATCTCGAAAAAGCTCAATTACAACGGATGTCCACAAGAATGAACCCTCTGCAGAGGCGCTCACGCTTTGGCAGAAGTGTCGTCTCTCGTATCAATAAACTCAACGAAACTAGAAGACAATCTCAACAAACGAGCCCGCATCAACCAGAGCATTCCACTGGCAGCACGGGAACTGCAAGACTTCCTCGCTGTCTTAACTGCAAAACTTTTGGCTCTTTTCTTGATCGTCGATGCTCGACCTTTACAGTCAGAAGGAGCTTCGACGCGCCGGTGTGTGGTTCTTTAGTCGCCGCGCTCTGCAGCTGTTCTTCGACATCGAGTCACAGTCTGTCAGCACGTACTGATTCTGGTATTCTCAGAAAAAAAAAAACTCTAGTGGCGGACAGTTCAGTTTTCACTTTCAGTTCGTACACATCAAGCACTTTTTCAATCGAACCTGGTCAAAACAGTCGCCACACCGAGTCTCTCGACTGTCGTCGCTTGAATTTGTAGTAGAGCTCGCAGGGGCGACGTAGAACTAAGACCACTGCAAGCCAAATCAACACCAAAACCCACCGGGGCCAATGGAGCTCGACATCCGGTTGTGGCTTGGGATTCGCGTAGAAAGCTAGGCTGTCGGATATTGTCTCTTGCTGAAGGAGGGCCTGCTCATTGGTGGAAACGCTTTCGTCGTGTCCGATTAGCATGCTAGAACTTCTGCTTGCGTTGATGTTGATATTTCCTGCTAATACTTCCAGTAAGTACTTCTGATGCCGCTTTTTGTAGACGTACACCTTCGCACCCGTCGCTAAAACTCCGAGTAACATGTAGTGGAACACGTAGAAGAACAGGGGCACGGACCCGAAACAGAAGAGAAAGGTGGTCAACTCCGCCTTGCACTGCTTGAAGATTTGCCTCTCCTCGAGGCAAAACCGCCCAAAATTTCCCAGGATGTGAGTGATGAGGTGCAGCACGTTCGTGAAGGACTTCAGCAAGCATTTGGGGAAAAAGCACCAGCGGCTGCCGATGGACACGTGATCGAGTTCTTCTTGCCCTGTTGACGTGGCTCCTCCTGCCGTGTAGAAATTATCGTTGTATATCTCGTCGTTCTGGTAGTAGTTGTTCGCATCCAGATGGTCCCCCGTCCTGACATGCAAGTCGTCCGTCACCGCGACAACTTCAACACTTTGCAGATTGGTATTGTTTCTTTGTGCGTCCACCACACCAGAAGGCTGCCGAGCTTCCGCCTGTCCGGTCATGACGAGGTGCTCCCTGGCGTCGAGAAACGGCATTCGATTGGCTGATGACGCGGTTGAGGAGACGACCGAGTCCAGTGTCAGTTGCTGCGATTCGTTCCCGGAAGATGTTGAACTGGAAGAGTTGCTAGAAGAGGTCGTTGTATCGAGCACATTCTGTGGCTGTTTTCTCCTCTTTTCCACTTGGTGCTTCCCGCTGTCGTAGCAAAACAGCCACCACAAAACGAAATTCACCCCTGCAGTGAACAACAAATACGCCAGATCCGGCGGGTATTTGCAGAACGTGAACATGCCGCGGAAGGGACTGTCGTACTCCCCGCGCGGGTAGCCGCGAAAGTTGAAGTACTTCTCCAAATCCCACAACTCCGCTTTCTCACTCCCGAAAATTTGTTTCACAATCGCGTTGATCCGGAATCTGACGAAGAAAAAAACGGTCAGCAGCTGTAGTCCGATGATCGCGAGCAGGGATTCCAGGTAGAAAAACCGCCCGCTGCCGCTCGCGTTCGTATTTCGGCTGCTCCGCCCGTTCCGGAGGATGCGCAGCGAGGTTTGGCTGGAGCTGCTGGTGCCGACGTAGGTGTCGTTGCTGGCCGTGTCAAAGTAGATGCCCAGGAACTTCTTCTGTTGAAAAAGCACGCCGATACACATCCCGAGAAACACCAACGAAACCCAGGGGAACAGCGGGTACGCGACGACGCCGAAGCTCGTGCGCCCGGGGAGTACCAGAAACCGCAACAAAATCTCCTGAAACGTCTCCGCCGGGTAGAACGCCTTGGGCCACGCCGAGTCTCCGTCGCTCGGGTTGCCGTTTTGCGCCTCCACGATGAGGTAAGAGGAGGTGGCGAGCACGGAGACCGCGAGGAGAACCATCAGCAAAACGCCCGCTTTTGTCCCGTTCTTGTTCGTCCCCGTCGCGACCAGGGGCGCGAACAAGCCGGCGAGCATCATGGACAAGCCCAGGCCGACCAGCACCTGCCAAATGCCGATGAGCGGGAACCACTTCAGCTATCAAATGTAAAAGTGTCTGGGTCTGGAAGAGTCATGCTGTTTTTGCATGACAAAGAAGGTCTGGCATGGAAGCTCTAGCATAACAGGTTTCGAGAGGCTTCCGCAATGCCGAACCCGCATGCCAAATCCCCCATTTTGGTGACACAAAGTGGGCAGCTTTTGCTACCTTTGCATGAGAGATTTTTCTGTGTTCTAAAATGCGCATCACAAGTTGTTCGGATCCTTCGCGACCCAGACATTTTTGCAGTCCATATCAGCAGGACCGGGTCAATGTTCGGGCCGAAAGGCGAGGGGATGTCGCGCACACCGAGTACGTAGTAGAAAACCCACATGTATCCCGCCTCGCAGATGTTGATCAACCGGCCGCACAGGATGAGAATCAGGCCGCGAATCAAAAAGTATTTCCGCACATACCCCTCCATGGTATTCACGGCAAAGTCCGGCATCGTGCCCCGCTCCAGCGTGCTCTTCGTCCACAGAAACATGCCGATGCCCATGGTCAAGAAAAACCCCGGGGCGCAGACGTGAGAGACAAACCGGCAGAAAAACTCGACGCGGCTGTGGTCGTAGGTTTTGAACTTCCCGCTCCACATCTCGCCACCGGCGTCCTCCGTGTGCTTCGTGAGCAAAAATTCCTGCGTGTGGTCCCAGGCCATCAATAACATGATCAAGCCGCGAAACACGTCCATGGACCAAATGCGAGCCGTTGAGGAACGCTCGGCGGTGGTGGAGGTGCGGGTGAGAAAAAATGGAGGCGCTTGTGGCTGTTGCGTCGGTGCACCAGGCAGCAGGGACGAGGGTGCTGGTGGGGTAGCTTGTTCCGTATCGGTCGGAAGAGCTTGTTGTGTAGGAGTGATGCGCGTGCTTCCGGCATCGATAGGGGTACTAGCGGCCCTACCATCTCCACTGCGGTTCTGCGAGTTCATTTTAGTCAAGATGACGATTGATGTCGGTGATCTTTAGGACTAGATAATTATTATCATACTTTCTTCACTTGAGATAAGAGAGGCTATGGGCTCGGACATGAGAAGTTCTCCAGGTTGCGGGAGGCACAACCAGTAAGAGACAAAAGTTCGGGCAGTTTGGAAGCACGCGGTTTTACTTCTCGAACTAAATACGGGTAGCATTCAACATTTTCTTCGCTTCTTTTTTTAGAATTGGGGGCTGTTCTGCGTTGCGACGTCACAACGCGGCGGTTGGAAACTTCTCAGCTTCAAGTAGAACAGACGAAGATAATAAATCCGATACTGACCTCTTAACTCACAGACACAGGCTGACGCTGATGTGGCCGCTTACATATAGCACCGGCTCTCGTCTCGTGCTCATCGGTCCCCAAAGTCATACATATAGAAGTTGGATCGCAATAAATCGCTCGACAGAGTTTTGCCTTGTACTAGTTGACCTCGCTCGGCAGAGAGAAAAAGAACGCCGACACGCACGGCGGTCGGGTTCTTCTTGCTGTGAAAATCTACTTTCACGGAACATACAAATCACTACACTCGTGTTAGTATTGCAGAACTGCATCGCGCTTGTGTGCCGTCTTTGGAACAAAATTTCACAAAATGTGGCAGAGGACACGATGCGGATGCCCAAACCACAATGCCACACATGAAGAACATCATCACGGCCAGCTCTTTAATTTGCCAATACCGATGTGGACCCAACGAAAGGCCGCGCCCTCTTCTGGTAATATGGACGTCTACTTCACTTCTCTGCTTTCATTTCTTGCCGAGGCGGGGCCATGCAGTCCCTGTTCAATCATCCGGTTTGTGCTAGAGGAAGTCGAAGATCGATACCCCTTAGCTCCGTTCTCTTTTTCATCATACTTAAGCGTATGCGTATGACAGCAGTATCCGTTAGTACTCTGCTAGTCGAGCAGTTGTTCTCTATTCGGACGGACGAGTAACTACTTCTCGGCTTGTTGTACTACAGTCGAACCCTACTCCTCTGAAAACGGAGCGTGAGGCTCGATCTTCAAATGTATCTTGATTTTTACACAGGGCTCGGGTGTCGTCGAGGTTGTTTCGAAAATTGGTGCAAACAAGACAGCATGCGTACGGACCTTGAAAACTAGAAATCGTGGACATTCATCTTTATCTTTGGTGTTTAGGGGTCTTTTACTAAAAGAAAAAAGAACCAAACAGAAAAAGACGTATATTATCATATTTTTTTTTCCTCATTGGGTTACTGCCACATCACACACACATACTCACGTTCCTTTCCGAAATATTACATTCGTAGAGTACATTGTTCCCGCCGTACTTAACAGATCATGACTTCTACCTAGGTAACATGCGAAGTGTCAATTTCTAATATTTTTCTACAAGTACACTTTCGAGACAAGAATCAAGATGCTCGTGAAATTGACGTTGTAACGGAAATATTTGGAACAAGAAGAACGCTTTTTGTGCACATCTTTCGTAAGTCTAAGTTTGTTCGTCGTTCGTACTTGCATTTTTCCGTGAAACCGAGAGATAGTGGCAGAGCTGAGTTTGCGTGACATGAAATATGAAATAAACCTAAAAGAAGTGAGAGTTACATCATTAGCAAAGGTCCGTCCTTGTAGAGCTCATTGCAACAAGTCAAAAGCCATGCATAGACTCGACGTCCCTCACACTAGAAGACGATAATCGAACTTCTTTTCTGCCTTACTGCAGGGCGCACAAATATTATTGGGGGATATCTAACTAAATCGTTTACCTTTTCGGTTGTTTTCCGTTGTGCATCTAGTCGGCAACTGCCACGACCTCCCGGGATAAACTAGACAAAAGTCGCTCTTGTTCCCTGCGTCATTCTTCACATTCGCACCCCGTCGCGGCGTACCTCGCGGCGCCCGGCGAAGGAGAAAATGCAAACACAACATCAGATATACAAAAGTCATTTTTTTTGCACAGGACTACAACGTCAAGATCTTGTGGCCCTACATCACGTGTACGTTCCTTGCTTCATTCAACGCCGCGGCTTACGCGTTGGATACCAAATACCTACAACGAAACGGAACGGCTCTAGTCAAGTTGACAGAAATGACCTGTATTGGCTTTATCAGAAACGAAAAATCAATCAACTGTTTTGATTTTGGATTCAGAAATTTGATTGTAGTAAATTCATAGCTTTATTTTCGAAGTAAAAGTTGTCAGAAGTATGAGTATCGTATCACAAACAGAATTCGCGAGAAGCTGCCAACGCGTCTTGGCCGCTTGGAGTAAAGTGTCAAACTAGTATCAGAAGCAAAAGTAATCAGTTTTTCGTGCCCATTGTACTTGTTATATATGATTTGTATCTAATGAAGTGATCTTTTTATTTTTGTACATGATAATGTTGAAAAAGACAAGCGCCACCCTGGATGACTGCTCGTGTGGTGTGCGTTCCGCTGAGAAAACACAAAGAATTTAAGAATGAAACATCTGCAAAAATCGAAGAAAGGTTCTTTTTGGACACCAAATCCAGTCGCTTCAAAAAGAACTGTGTTCTCGATTCCAGCAGGCTGAGTGTCGAAAATGCAGAAAAACTTTTCGAATACCAAATGAGCAACAACTTTTAAAATGGAAAACGCAACTAATGTTGAGACGTCTAGCAAAACTTCCGTGCGCCAGCACTCATTTCTAGCTAGAGCCCCTTGCTATGTTCTTTATCAGTTTCAGTATATGTAAGTAGAACTAGAAGTAGAAGTGGCATATTTCTACAATTTTCATTACAGTCAAAGTCAATTCTTTGTTTCATATGAGTTTTCACGAGGCCCCGTCGTCGGTTCTTAACACTATCCACCCACGGCACCCTCGTCCACCCATTGCTTCAAGTTCATGGCGAGTGACATCACTTCCATTGCCGGTAGCAACTCCAAATACCCCGCATACATCAAAATGAAGCTTCGTTCTTCCTCCGTCTCACCGAACTTATTGACAGTAGTACCAATTTCCGGTTCATCATCATGACCAGCATGATTCTCTGCTTGTTGCATTGGCGTCCGTGGATTTGTAGTGGGCAGCACGACTGGGTCTTGTTCGTCAGTGGGACGTTCGTCAGTGGGACGACCACCCGTAAAATCTGCCACTAAGCCTTCTTGACTCTGCTCGTGAAGCCGCTTCTGATGTTGAAATGCGTGAGACGAGTAGTGGTCGTCTGTCGGAAACATCAGGTTCGTTCCGGTTAGATTGTTGAAAATAAACGGCGTGTCCTCGCAAATATCCTCGAGGTACCGAGCCCGCGGACGTGGTACAGTTGTGGTTAACAGTGCCCCAGAGGAGTTCTTTGCTGCAGAAGTACTAGCCAGTGGAGTCGAAGAGATCGCATGTAAGGGTGCTTGCCGCCTGCTCAAAAAGCCTACTTTCTTCGCGGATGCACCTGGCTGCAGACTGTCGCCGCTGGGTAGTTCGGCGCCATCGCTCATGTGTTGCATTTCGGGAAGGTTTCCTACCGTCCTGCTTTTGCCAGAACTTGTTATCGTGAGCAAAAATCCCTCCTCCCCATATCGAAAAGGCACGTCTAAGAAAATTTGTTATGCTCATTTGTGACCTCAAATCATCTCTGTCTTGCAGGACCGAAACTACACAGGCTCCGCCGCATTCTGCAGGCGGTTTGTGATGCTGTTGGCCCTACAGACTAGGCGTCTGCCATGCTTACCGCCTAGCAGAAAACCTCTCTACTCAGGCTTAGTATAGGCCTGCAGTCCTCTCCAGCAAGACAAATCTGATTTGTGTACGCAAATCCAGCATCAGAAACTTCGTTTTGATATGGGGAGGGGGAATTTTTCCTTTTGATACTTGTTCCCTTGACTTCTGGTGAAAGACCGCTGTTGTAAATTCTTTCATCCACCTCCCGCTCCCTCGAAAAAGAAGAGAGAAAGTCGCGTTTCGGCAGCTTCTCCTGCAGATCATACTAGCATCCAGAGAAAAAACCTAGCACGCCGCATTCTTTTTTTGTATAATGATGATGTACCCAACTGTGGGGTCTATACATGAAATTTAGAGTTCTGTCTCGTATGGCCGATGAAAAACCCTGCCATGGCCTCCCAATGACAGATTTTCTGCCTCTTATAGTTTTGCGTTTTTGCGTTGCTCAGCTAGCTTTTTTCTGTGCGATAAGTAGACTTCGTTCATGATTGTACGTGCCAACGACAGCTCCTTCGCAACTTCCGACTGTGTCAGCCCCACCCCCGGTGGCTGCACTGGTGCTTGTGCTGCTTCAGCTTCGACGCCGAGCGATGTTTCATTTGCACTACCACTTCCTGGTTGTATTTGCGTTTGGTCTACCGATCCCGCGGCCTCGGAGCCTGCGTTCGCGCGGGGCGTAATTCTTGCGTTCCCAAAGGACGAAACGGCCATTTGTGCTTCTGTTCGATGATCGGAAGAACCAGAGATCACCGGCGCGTGCGGCGGGGCTACTTCTCCGTTTTGTGCATGTGCACGACCCTCCGCTTCTGTCCGACCGAGAGAACTCGAGGGCTGCACCTGTTCCGCGCTCGCGGCGGAGGAATATACTCGGGGAGAACTACCTGCGACAGGCGAGGTCGTATTCCGCCAGCCCAATGCCGCCTGTTCCCACGCAGGGAGCAGAGGGTGTTGCTGCTCACGCTCATACCGTGCCGGAGGCGGCAGTCCGCTTTCGTCGCCGAGGTCAAACCGCATCAGGAAGAGATCGCATGCGTCTCTCCAGGCGTGATCCTCGTGCGGAGCACGGGTTCCCGGCTGGCTCATGTCCAGTGGCCGGACGAAAATCGGGCCGTCATCATAAAAATCTTCGTCGTCCGTTTCGTCATTTTCCTCGCTTGTCTCCACCTCTGCGATCGGCGAGTGTGTCCTGGTGAAGTAATGCCCTAATGGCGTCATTCTCATTGTCTCGACGTCATCCAGATGAGGACTTGCAACGGTTCCATTATGCTCTTCAGCATCAACATCGTCGTGCTTCTTCAGCCGTACACACTTGGCGTGCATCATCGCATTCATCGTAGACATTACCCCAGAAGATGCGCCTCCTGGATGTCGAGAACTTGGTGGTGCACCAGAAGTACTGCCAGAACTTGAAGTACTGCCTGCTGCGACATCATCAATGCGACCACTGGTGCTGTTGCTGGCCGGCAGCACGCCGGGCGAGCCAAAGACAGGTCCACCGTGCTGAGCGGGATAATTTCTTGTAGTTCCGAAAGTGGTCTCTCCGTAGCACCCGTTCGAAACTATATATGTCGGACGGGTTGAGGTTGAGGTTGACACTGGCGTTGACGATGCTGGCCCCGCAGGTGACGGCGCACTGCTGGCCGTACTTGCGCCGAAAGGTGAAGAAGTAGCGTTCGCCGGGGGACAATTATACGCGTCGGCTGTAGACTTACGCGCGTAGTGTTTGGCCGCGTAGGCTTCAAAGAGGATTTTTGAAATGGGTAGCTTCTCCGCGTCGAGAAAGAGCTGCACCTGTTCGTACAACGTCGGCCCTGTCCACCCCTCCAGCGGGGGAACGAGGCCCGGGGGAAAAGCGGACTTCTTGCGCAATTCCTCGGACTTTTGCTGCATCTCCTTGGTGAGATAGAACTCCGCCGCGTTCTGCAACTTCTGCAACAGGTACTCCTGCTTTTGCAGAATTTGCTTCTCCGACTCTGCTTTCCACGGTGATGACGAAAAGGTTGTCGAACTGTTCCTGTCAGTACGACCAGCAGCAGCAGGTCCAGGTGCTCCAGGAACAAATACAGCTGCGCTATCTTCTTTACCTTTTCGCTTGTCGTAATTGTTTCGGAAAAAGTAGTCCGAGAAGAGCACCGTCTGTTTCAGCTGTGCAATCACCTGCTCCCGCATCTTCCGCCGAAGCTCCCCAATCGAGAGCAAAATCCCGGCTGCAAAGGGGTCCTCCGGTGCGAGGGCGAGCAAGTTGTTCGTCATGGCGTTCGGGCTCATGTGCAGCAGCTCGCTCGAGTTAATATAATCGTTGCCGGTTTGGTTCAAGAGACCTTCCTCCAGCATCATTTGCCGCCATTCCTGATCCCCTTTGAGCAACCCCGCTCGTTCTGCTTGCAGCAACTTTCGCCACTCCCGCTCCTCCAAGAGCCGCAGCTTCAAGGACTCCTTCAGGGACCGCTTCCCCGCGACGCGGTCTTCTTGTTTGCGGTCCTTGCGACTACCACCAGCACCGCTTCTCGAGTTTGCTGCAAACGCTGCAGGCGCCCGCGCGTAGGCCCCGAGTTTAGCTGTAATTCCGTGCAGCTGCGCAGGATCGCGTTGTGCGAAAGCACTTCCCGTGGTGCTCGCGCCAGCACCTGTCGCCGTCGCTTTGGCCACTTCCGGGGAGTAGTCGCTGATGTCCTCAATGGCCACCAGCTTCTGTCGCTCCGTCCGCAGGAACGACAAGAGTGCTCTTTGCACGTGCTGCACCTCTCTACTGTACACCACCCGCGCCGTCCTGACGACGCTGTCCAGGACCTTCTTAACGAAGTTAGTCAGTTCCGGCACCGGCCCCAGGGGCGGTGTGGTCGGGGGCGTCGCGGGAGACGGATCCAGCGGAGTTGTTGGTAGCGCCGCAGCAGCATTAGAATCAAGTGCAGCAACTGCAGCGACCGAGACACTTGCGCCCGGCGCAATCGGGGGCGCTATCCCGTCACCCAGGACGCCTGGGCCGTGGACCGGTTCGTCACCCGAAGTTCCAGGTGGCTGTTGGGCCTGAGATATTTTTCGATTAAGTGCGGTGCATGGAAAAGCAGGATGAGTTCTTGAACATCAGGGACTTCAGTGGTCACCTGGTGCACGAAATCAAAATCATCTCTTTCAAGATTAAAGAAAAACACTCCAGGGCGAGGACACCAGTATGGTGTATGTAAGTAACTAAGGAAGTGCGCCCCGACACCAACTGCGTGCGACTCCATTCTCCAGCCTGAAACTGGAAGAAGAAGATCATGAAGACCGAAAAAAATAAGAATTGATAACCCGCTGATCTATATGAACAAAACACATATATGAATACAGATCATTTGACGATACCTGCACGGTCGGATTCTCAACATGATGATCATGATCATCCGTCTTCGCCACTTTTTTGTTCCGAGAAGATGCCTTGACCTTTTCTGCAAGTGGCCTATCATTTTCTCCGATACTGATGTCCGTCGTGCCTTTGCGGCCGTTGTTCTTCACGGTCGCTACAAAGGGATTCGGGATCTTTCTGCCCGCCTGGTCCAAATCGCGATTCTGCAACGTACCCAGCCAGTCGAAAAGCTTGCGCATCTCATAAGCGGTGGCGCTCGGCGAAGCAGTTGGCGCTACTTGTTCGCTAGGACTATTTTTTGCTGTCCCGTGATTTGTGTTTTTTTCCTGGTGCCACGCCACGACAGGTTGGTGGCGTGCTGAGACCCTACTTCGTGGTAAGGGTAACCAACTCCCGACCGACTCTAGATTGGCAAGGGAAGAAGTAAACGACCCCCCTATCGCACGGCCGGGGCCGCGCGTTTTGTTCAGAGCCGAACTTGACAGAAGCACATCAGAGTCGATGGTCTGATCATACTTCAACCTGTGCCGATTGCGGGCAACGCTTTCCTGTCCCCCTGCGGGCGGCCCACAGGAGGCCGCAGCAGAGGTAGTAGCTCCCTCAGCAGCACCGGGGTGTTGTACTTGTCCTTGCTCGGTGCAGAGAACCGTACCACCTTTCTCGCTGCGTGCTCCGTCCGATAAATGTACCGTTGCATGCGCGTGATGCCTTGAAGTAGATACAACAGGCGGATCAGGCACCAGAGTTGTGTCTTGCTCACTGGCCTCCAACGGAAAATTTTTCGGCGGACTTTTCCCGGTGAGAACAGCTATTGGCGCTGTCTTCTTTGCCAGTAAGGTTCGCAGGGACCTTTGCTGGATGAAGCTCGCGGAATCCAAAACCGACACTGCGTATTCCGAGGAGGCACTGGTTGCGAAATAGACCGCGTGCCGCAAGGCGCGCAGGGAGAGCCAGGGATGCAATTCGCGAATCGGAAGGACGCGCTGGAACAGCGCCCGGGAAAGCTGCAACCGTTTACTCGCCCGCCTTGACGACGGCGTTGCTGTCGTAGTAGAACTCGGTCCGTCGATCCCTCGTTGCACTTGTTCATCTGCAAGATCAGCACGTAAGTTTTTCTCCGCCCACTGCCCCGCGCGCACAAGCATCACAGAGACCAGCTCAGCCGCGTGCCGAGTGACGCGAGGAATGGCCGCCTCCAACTGGCCGGCAACCAGGCTGGTGGCAATGATCGAGTCACGAATCACGGTTTCTTCCCCGTCCTCCACCGGGACTCTATCACGCGTTCTAGCACTCGCTGGAGTTGTACCAGCGTGGATGGATGCGTAGCTGCCAGATTCCTCGTGCTGCTGCTGCTGCAAAAGCTGCTGCCCGAGATCTGAAGGAATTTTTCAAAAATAGATGATCCAAGGTCGTGACAAACGGAGCACCAATCCAAGCTGTACGTATCTTATGCGCTTGCGCTAACCAAGACATGAAAAGAAATAGCTGGGAAAAGAGATCGGGTAAAAGAAAAACGTCTGCGACGTCGATTTCAAGGCGTATAATACCGTGCAAGCTTGCTTTCTGGTCACGCTCTTTGGCCTCGTGCTCGAAGCTCACCATCCATGACACCAGGGACCGCAATGCCGCACGTCGGTGCGCGGGAGGCGGTTCTAGCGACTCACGTGGTACAGGCGCGCCAGATCTACTCCTGGCCGGCCCCGCGAAAGTTGTGGCCCCGAAAAGTGGGTGTGGTGGTGTCGGGCCCTTGTTTTTGCGATCAGAAAGCAAGGATGCCAATGGCATCCGAAAAGACCACGAGGAATCCTCGTGCGCTACCGTGGAATTATGCGGTCGAGCCTGGTGATGTTCCTGTGCCTGGTGTCCCTTTGATGACATTTTTTGTGAAGATGTTGGCTTTCCGTGCTGCGCTGCATCAGTACGACCTTCCTCGTCGCTCTCCTCCTCTTCGTCCTCTTCCGTAGCCAACTCCTTGGACGCTGCCTGCGTACGCATGAGGACATCTAAAGCTGTCGCCACCTGCAGCACGGCCAGCAGACTCGCCTGCTGGAACAAACACCAGCGAAGACCAGGACCGGGGGCGTGGGTCACGTCCGCAATGGACGATGCCGCAGCCGCTGGCAAGGGAGCGGCCACCAAATCTTCACCTCCTTCGACGTGCCCTAACCCGGTGCCCGGATCTTCTGAAACTCGTTCCGATTCAACTTCTGAGGCCCCTCTGCTAGAAGATCTAAGCGAAAAATCCTGCCACTCAACGCCCGAAACAGGGCTCTCTCCAGCGGCCTGCCGGCCGCGCGGTCGGGACGAAAGCTGAGAGGAAGTCGGAACAACCATCGCGTGGTCACTTGCCTGTGTGGACAAACCGTCAAACGACAACTGGCGTGTGAGTCTCCCGCCCATTCCCAGAGCTGTCTCAAGACTGCTGGACGAGGTCACCCGCGGCGCACAGCAGTCCTCGGAGGCCGTGCCCGGGCTCCCCGCCCGCACCGAGCCCGACCGTGACAAGGTCCGGTCCGTAGAACGTGACAGGGTCCGTTCTTGATGTTCACTGTTGTGGTCCAGAACATGTTGACTCGCATCATCTCCACGAGAGGAGTTGGTCGGCAGGAATTCTCCAAGGTGGTGGTCGGGAGGTAAGACATCATGACCACCGAGTTCTGCCGCTACTGCAGGAGCTCGAGGACTACAACTTCTTCCGCCTGGACCTCTGGTGGAACTACGCTGGTTCTCCAGTGCCTTTGCGGACGCGACCGCAGCACGCTCGCGCTCCTTTTGAAGCAATCTGGTCCGGTAGCTCACGTTCGAATCCGCATAGTCATCCACGTTGCTGGTTGTCGAGGCAGAAAAAGCATCCGAGTCGCTCGACGAACTGTCACTGTCGTCTTCATCCGGCCAGGAGCTGTCCAAGGCAGCGTCAACATCTTCGTGGTACCGGACATTACTCAGTTCCAAATGAAAGTAGGTCTCGACTGCGTCCGGCAGCGTCTTCATCGAGAGCATTGTGCTGGCCTCGAAGGGTGCGCTTTCCAACACGCGCTCCACCGTCTGAAAGACATTCAGCCTTGCCGCTGGTTTCGGTGCGCTCCTCTCTGTTTTCATCGAGGTGGGCATGAAGAGTCCCGGCTTTGGAGATGACGCGCGAGCTTGTGCTGCACTGCAGGAAGCAGCTCCAGCGCCGCAGTTCAGCCTGGAGTCCGTACTCAAAATTTCCTTGGCAACTTGCGGAAAAGCCATCTTTAGACTGTGCTGCACCTGGAAGACGGCGTGGGGAAAAACTTCCATCGCCTGCCTGAACTGTGTCGGTCGGTGCCGGTCAAAATTCGACACGAATTCGTTCCAGTCGCGAAATTGGGCTTTTAGTCTTGCCCGCAACAGCACCTCTGCCTCCTTTGCTAGCCGACCGAAAAACGCTACCTCGTCGTCCACGACGCTCTCGTCCTGCGCGGAAGGGCGGCGGGTGCGCGCCCGCATCGAGCGGGAAAGGTGCCACTGCATCTTGTTTCTGGAGACCGGCTTCATGGAAAGCCCGTCGATCATACTGCCGTCGGCAACTGCATCCTCGTCGTCTTCCGTGAGAGGCTCGTCCGATGATACGTCAAAGTCCGATTCGTCGTCCTGTTTGGCGCCGCCAACATCTTCCTCCCGTTCTGACGAGGAGGTGAAAATATCTTCGTAGGACTCTCGGTGCATAGCTCTCATGTTCCCGCGCGGCCGTGTGCCGTTCGACGAATTTGATGAATCATAGCTCATTTCCCTTTCTTCATCCGGCACGGTTTCCCCGGGCGGGGCGTCGTGTGAGGCACCAAATAACCTTGGTGTATCTACCTCGCCCAGCACCTCGAATGTTGTTCTTACGGTCGCTGCAGCTGCTGCTTTGCGCTCGGTCTCCTCTCGGATGAAAGTTCCCAGCGCCTTGTAAGCCGACTTTTGCAGCTCCAGTTGAAGCGACGGCTTCTTATGTGGAAGTGCGCCCCGTGCGCTTATCCTTTCGGGCCTCGCTGCTCCAAAATAAGCTGAAGCCAAGTGCTTTCTTTTTTCCTTCTCCACCAACATCCGCTGCTCCCGCCAGCTCGTGAACTCCAGCATTGCCGCGTTGATCATTTTTTCCAGGGCCAACTTCGGGTCAAAAAACTCGTCGTTCGGCTCCGTCTTCCAAGTTTTTGCTTGTCGTCCGCTATTCGGTAGCTCCTGCTTAGGAACATCTTTCTTATCGGGAAGCCACCTGCCGCCCATCTTATTTGGCGACCTGCTCGGAGCAGATAGCTTCCTGGCTGTGCGCGTTTGGTTCAATGGCTCACTCATCATCTCCCCGCCCGGCTGCCATGCCGGCTGCTGTGGAATCTGAAATGTTGGCCCATCGGCAAGAAAAGTTTCCTGAGCCGCAATTTCCGTAGCAACTCCAGCGGCAGGAGATGGAGCACGAAAAGTCGGCCAAGAAGCATAGACGGCAGGAATCGGAGTAGCAGTTGAAGGCGCCGATCGATCCACCTCCGGGAGATTAGCGCCAGTAGCGGAGTGAGCAAGCTGTGGCGGGAGGAGCTCTCTTTTGGTCGTGGCTGCCGGCTGTACTGCATGCTCCTGCCCTCCACCTCGTGCAGCAACATCCACTTCGGTGGCTGCAACAGCGTGCGAAGGGTTAGAAGTGAAAAGCACAGTCGTGTCCGGTCCCTCTCCTCGTTCGCGACTCATCTCCGCGATAAGCGGTCGGCGGAAGGCTATTGGCACATCCTTGGCCGCGAAGGCGGCATCCAAGGCATCTGTCAGCAGTATTCCGTCACTGATCTGGTCCAACACCAAAGCGGGGAGCGCTTCTACGGTGAGGTAGTCGTGAACCTGCTCCTGCAGCCAGTAAACCGCATGCAACACTTGGTGTCTCAACGCCGCAGCTGGCATCTTGTTGTCCCCTAGTTTCGCGGCAGTTCTTGGAGCTGCGGCCATCAGGGGGCTGTGCTGGTTCTGTGGTAGTTCACCCTCATCTTCCCCTGTGCTTGCCCGCTCTAGGATTGCCGTGAATTTCTGCTGCCAACATTCAGCATAAGAACGACGGTAGTACTGTGTGAGGCTCTGGCCTGCGAGCGCGGTCTTTGGAGGCAGGGGCAGCTCTCTAATAAAGGGCCGCGACTGCCCAACCGAAAAGGCTGGATCAGCAGAACTACTAGTGGGCGTTCTTCCTTCTATCCCATCCTGCCACGACTGGGGTCTTTGTCCAGTACCACCAGTACGATCGCAGCCAATGTCCAGCTTTTCTTCCCCATCCGCCGGCTCGGTCCCGATCACCCGCGAAAGCCTGATCTCCTCGCTGTGAACCTGGATGCGCTGCAGGCAGGTCTTCACGTCGTGGCACAGATTGGACACGGACGTCCCTCCGGGAGTCGTTTGCCGCTCGAATGCCAGGGTTCGAACCCCTTGCTGGAGGTCCCCCGTGGCCACCGTGACGGCCCGCATGTCGTCCCGGTCGAGGACGTTGTTCTTCAGAAAGTGAAACAGCTTCGCAAACTCCTCGCCCCGCCACAGATTGTTCAGCTGCTGCTGCTTTTCCACCGTCACCAAGGACGACAGATGCTCGTCCAACTGGTCCAAGTCCAAGCCCTCAGTGGAAATGCCGAATTCCAGCTCCAAATTCTCCCACATCCGCCAAGTCGCGGTAAGCACTCTCTCGTGCAGATACGCGAGCGAGAACACTTGTTGCAGCGCCTTTTCCAACTCGTCTCCTCTGCGGGCGACGTCGCGATTGTTGCTCCGCTTCAGCCCGGCGAACTCCTGTCTCTTTTCCGCTACAAAATTGTACACCAGTAGCCTCGCTTCCTTGGCCGCAATGTAGAGGATGAGCGCAGCCAGGGACTCCTCACTCTGCGGGAAGTCCTGCCCATTCAGCGCGGTGTGCAGAAAATGCTCCGGCACTCCGGAGCCAAGGAGTAGTGCCATCGTCTCGTCAAGGGTGGCCTGGTTCCTGCCGTCCATCGATTGTAAACTGTCACGCACCACGTCGCCGAACCCGCGGAAATCCTTCTCGTCTTCCAGCATCGGAATCTTCAGCAAGGAAAAAATCTCTACTTCTAGAAGAAGCCCGCCGTCAACCTGCTGCTGGTTCGGGGCCAGTTGTCGTGGTCCTTCATCTGCACTAGGAGCAAAAACCTCGCCGCTCTGCTCGATATGTAGACCAGGCTGTGGCTGCTGCTTATGATTAGCGGCACGTTCCTCCGGTTCTACCACGATTTGGCTCGTCTCCGCTGCCCCTCGTTCTTGGTCACTTTTGTAATTGTCGAAGCGGCGCTCGAAGATGGTCTGGCCCTGGCCGCTGCCCAAGGCCGAGAAATTATCGTCTCGACGTGGTGGTAAAACGTCTGGTGGCCCAGCTCGCAAGGACTCAAACATAGAATAGCCATCCTCGAGCTTGTCAGAAAAGGAGCCCACGTTTATGGAGGACTCTTGTGCACTTTCGGGGAAGGTCCTCAGCCGCACCTGCGCCATGGAGACAGTCTGTTCTTTGGGTGTGGAACCATCTGAATGGGCAAGGAGGTCGGCATCCGTCAGCGACCGCGCTCTCGTCGTGTCCGGTCTTCTGGTGTGGGGGTAAAACCCGCGAGTCGTCACTCCGGAATCTTCGGACGCCGCGCCCTCGTCTGCGCCGTCGCGTCCCGCAATCCGCTCGCTTTCGGCTATCATGGCCGCTAAGGAGTCCGAGGACTCGTTACGCTGGACTGCTTGTGATCGGTGGCTCTTCTGGCTCAACAACGAGATCCGGGCGGCCGAGCCGCGGCCTGAAGTCGTGACACCCGACTCGCGCCCAACGTCGTCAATAGTTTCTAAATGCGTTGAAATCGTCTCCGGGCTTTCTTTATCGTTCATCTCGTCGTCCTCCTCGTGCCCCCGGCCAGCCAGGGTTTCAGCGCTCTGCTGGTTGATGGAGAGGTTGCTGCGCGTCTTGGACGAGTTTCGCCGCGACATGATGGCGCTTTGGGTCTGGTCGAGCCAGCTGCTGCTCGCACTACTACCCACGCTCTGCGCACTGCGCGTGCGGGTAAACCCAAAGTCGGGCAGTTCGCTCAGTGTGCTGCATACGCTTTGCGCGTCCTGGTGTTGCAGCAAACTCTGCCCGAGCTGCAGCCGCGCCTTCTGCAGCCGTGCCTCGTGGTACAACGAAAATCGCTTTTTGTCAAAATGCAAAACTACGTATCACGGTTGTCCTCGACCTGATCATCCATCGTGATCCATCAACATGATCAACATTCACAGGAAAGATTTAAGATGCACATACCAGAATCTTTCCGCTCAATAAAAAATAAGCAAGAAATAAATCTGGATTAATATGTGCCGTGCGTCATCTCCTTCCAAAATGACACGCACTGCTGCTCCTGCTGCATCCGTTTCTAGACTCTTTCCGACTCGGCGTTTCATTTTGAAACCACATCGGCCTCGGCGTCACAATGCCTATGTCTATGTCAACGCAGATATTACTTACAATCGATACGATACACTCAATGAAATACAAGGCGAGTACAAGCTTCTTCGATAGTCTTAAAACTATCTGGCGAGCCAGGAACTGTTTACATGCTGTGTGTTTTCCTCTAGGTTAATTGCCTGCACTGGGTTGGTCGCCAGCCGCATCACTCTTGTCCGAACGCGGCCCGTTTTAGCTGCGCGCGAACAATCGTTTAGTGTCCACCAGGGCTACCACCTGTCCGCCCTTAGTGTTCAAGAGATCAAGAGCAATCCCTAGCCACCAATCAAACCATCGAGGGTCAATAGCAAAAGGCTAAGATCTGCCAAAAGCCATCTTCCTTCGGCGTCGAAGAGGAAAACACACCCCAAGCTAATGCCCAGCCACTTCTTCCGCGCTAGGCTAAGAAGCGGACACATAAATCGCCACCGAGCGCCGTGATCAACTCGAAGTTATTCACACTTTGCTGCGGTCAACCATCCTACCTAGTCGGGGTGTCGCTGCTTTACGTCTCTGGGCGTAGTCTCAATGAAATACAAACCTAACTTCACGCACGATGCCCAGCACGAGCACGACCGTGACACTTTTTTGCATGATGCGTATTGTGCGGCACTGATCAACAACTTTTCCTCGCGTATTGCAGCCTCGCAGGCAGCATAGTCCTGGTCGTCATCCGGGGAGCGGTAGCGGGGTATCCTAGATAAAATGTCCGTCACCTGCATCAATTCGTAACCGACTGTCAAATACTGCTCACCTCAAGTTCAACACATTACCATGCATAGCAGTAGCACGGAGCATGCCAAAGAAAAACTGATGTTGGCGACGGAAATTTCATTTCCGATACGATGCTGCTCTAGCTCACTGGCAGTACCATCTTCCTCGTCCCCTTCGCTGTCGCTGACGGGTTCCGGGCTGCTTTCCTCACTAGCCTGCCCTTCCTGCGCAGCGAAAACCGTTCCAAATTCGCGCGCCAATTCCCCGCCCGAGGAATCGAGCAGCTGCGGGTAATCTATTTGCGGACCACTGCTGACCTCCTCGTCGTGTGCTCCTTGCACAGCACCGCTTGCGGCTAGAGGCATCGTCGTCTGCAGCCCCCGCCCGTGGTGCCACTGTTCCTCAATCTTTGGCACAACTACTTGAGCCGACTCAAGAGAAGACCTTTGCACCCCGTCGTCCTCAAGCGTCATCATGGTTCGAAAGGACTCTGACAGCGATTGCAAAATGGCTGCTTGCGTCTGGACGTCGTCGTCAGCTTCGACCACGTAGTCGTGCGCGCTGCTTTCCTCTGCTGCCCCGACGAGGTGGCCCACTGCAGTTGCAGCTGCCTGCGTCGCCATTGGCTGCTCTCGTTTGGCATGATCCTGCTGCTGCTGCTGCTGCTGCTCCACTTCCTTCTCCAGTTGCGCTGCGAGAGCGTCCCTTGCTACATGCATGTCTAGCAGCTCCACATCGGTGTCCACGCCACCACTTGGCCGGGAATACTCACAACTCCCATCCCGCTTCCAGTGTACGACGTCGTCCTCCGGAATGGAGTCCGTAGCAGAGTTGTAGCCATTGCTCGCCGAACAACTGGAGGCCCCCTTGTTCGGGCCACGCCGACGGTGCCTCGCGGCCGGGGAAAACATTCGCAAGTCGTGCTTGTTCACGCGCATTGGATTGAGGGTGGGTGATGTGGCGGAAGATCCAGCAGCGTTTGCAGCGACAGCTACTCCCGCTGTTGCCTTCCCTGTGGGCTGGACCATCCCACAAGATTGCGCGCGCGTGCGGCCAGAGGAACGGGGAAGCGGAGAGTTCGGTCCACTTCCCAAAGCTGTCGAGGATTTTTCACTGGAAGACCGCGCAGAGTCTCTTCCCGTTGTGGTCGACGTCGAGCACGCCGCGCCAGAAAGAGAGGCTGCAAGACCTGGACTCCCGTGATGTGTCAGCGCCTTACAGCCCTTGTCACTTCTCCGGGTTGTACCTTCACCGTCACTCCTGCATCGCGGAAAGCCGGGAGTGATGCCTGCCCTCGCCACAGCGGTGAGCGTGGGTGCGTAAGGTGTGCCTGTTCCAAACGACGCCGCGGACAGAATCTCCTTGGCAATCGCAGCCGAGAACGAGGACTGCGCAGGCTGCACAAGCAGTGGTTGTAGTTCGGCGTGGTCATCTTCAGGACGAGTTCTTGCAAGCAAGTTCAGAGAGGTCTCGACGTCAAACGTGTTGAAGTGGAACTGCCGTCCCTGTACTTCAACTTCTCCGTTGCTTTCATCTCTGGCTCGGATGGCAAATAATGATCGCTGCCCGTTGTAAAACTGCAGCTCTTCCTCATCGCTCGTAACACGGAACGGCGCCATTAGAATATCGTTGTCAATCAGACCTGTGTCATCTGTCGTGTCGTCGATCTGCTGAGTAGCTGTTCGCTGCGCTTTTGTGGTTAATACCGGTTTATTTCTCACTTCTTTCTCCGTACTGAATCCGCCCAGTCGCGCATACAGCTGCAAATATTTCAGGAGGAAGGAGAAATCGTCCACACGAGGACCTGGCGATGAAGACAAGGCTGGTTCGACAGATGCTGAGCCTGCCGAGCCTCCGCCAGAAGTCCTCACGGTACTAGAGCCGCTCCTGAAGACACTCGCCATTG